TTAGTGAATAAAAAAATAACACACAGGCAAACATATGGTCCAGTGGTTAAGGATTCCTCTCCCTACCTTTTACACTTATTTGTCTGGAAAAATATAGTGTCAAATCACACAAGTCTTGAGTTATTCGAAGTCTTAAGTCACATGTCGTCTCCCTTTAAAGGAAATGTAATCCATGAAAAATTCTCAGCACAGCAGCACCTGACAACTTAGTAAGTAAGTGCTCAATGCGTGTTGGTCTGCTGCTATTGTGGTTATCATCCTTGGCCCTAAAGATCTGTAGGGACCAGGATGGTTCTGACACAACCCGTGGCTCAGGTCAGAAGCCTTCCAGAATCCAGGCAGAACCTGAAGGTATTGATCTTCAAGAAACAGTGGCTGGGGGGAGAGAGATCAACCAAAGGGCTTGTATGCATGCATATAAGCCTAACCAATGGACACAGACAACAGCGGGGTGAGGGTATGAGTGGGGGTTTGGGGGGAAATGGGGGGATAAGGATACATACGTAATACCTTAATAAAGAAATTAAAAAAGGTTTTCTGTTTTAGATACCCCCCCCCCCCCCCCGAAACAAACAAAAGAAACAGTGGCTGAATAATTGTGAACTGTAAACTTCGGATCAAAGTTTAAATCCTCACAGTGGTTGTTTAAGAACCAGGTACCTCACAGGAAATTACAAATGTCCAAAAGGCTATGCAAGACCAAGTTTCAACAGCGACACCATGTGGCAGTAAGGAATAACGCTTCAGGGTTTTCTCAGGAAGCCCTGAACCAAACCCGGGTGTGGAGGCCTGTGTCCTTGGATCACTGGAACTTTGTCTCTCAGACTAGGACTGCAGGGCAGGGTGGGTGGGTGGGGGCCTTAGGGGTGTGTGTCTATGAATGTATGGCTCTCTTTCTCAAGAGTGACACATGCAGATGGAGGAGTCAGGGGTTAAATATGACAGAGAGGACAGAAAAGAGTAAAATGATATGAAAGAAACTTGAAACTTCACATAATAAGTCATTTCTAATATTATGATATAGACAAAAAGTAGCAAGTTGCTGGGAGAAGTTGTTAATAGTTTCTCTACAAATATGTAAGACCACTGTGGTAGATTGGAAAAGTGGCCACAATTATTCATTTAATAATTGCAGAGTCTTTTCTTTAGAAGTGGCAACTTTTGCCCTGGCTGGTGCGGCTCAGCTGGTTGAGTGTCGTCCTGTGCACTGAGAGGTCACTGGTTCGATTCCGAGTTGGGGCGCATGCCCAGGTTGTGGGCTCCATCCCCGATGTTTCTCTCTCATCCATGTTTCTCTCTTTCTCTCCCCCTTCTTCTCTCTCTAAAAAAAAATTACATAAAAAAAGTAGAGATGTTTTCCTTATTCTTTGTACCTAAGCTAGTCTGATGACTTGCTTTGGCTGATACAATGAGGCAGAAGTGATGTTATATTGCCTCTGCTCACTTCCTTAGACCCCTGCCACCTCCACATATAAGACCAGACTATCCTCCTGGAAGATGAGAGTCCAAGAGGAGCAGAAGCTGTCAGCCGATTCCTTTCAGCCAAGGCCAAAGACAATGAAAGAGACTATACAAGCTCAGCAAAGCCAAACCTCATCACACCTTTCAGCTAATTCTCCAGCTAAACCTGCCAGGCCCACACAGACAGTGACTCATGAGCTAAATAAATGTTATTGTTTTAAACAAACACCCCCTCCTCCTCCCAAAGTGACACATGCTCTCTTACAAGAAAAGGCTCAGAACAGAAAAGTCTCTTCTCTTCCAGATTTTCTACTCTTCCCAGATAAATAAGAATCTTTTCTTTCCCTCTACCTGGATGTGGTGATTCATTCATTCAATCATTCATTCACTCAATAGATTGGTTTTTTTTCCAGTGTAAAGGCACTTTGTTAGGCTTAGTGGGGGCACAGGGTGCAGGGCAAAAAAAACCCCCAAAACACACAGATCTGATTTATAGTCTGGTTTGGGCAGAAAGGAAATAAGCCTGGCCAAATAAGCCACTGAGTGCATTCGAATTCAGCCGTGGGATCACCTTACAGCTGTGTGACCTTTGGGTAGTTACTTAACCTTTCTGAGTTTTCCCTTCCTTATCTCACAAGCAGGCATAATACCTGGCTCTCAGCATGAGGGAGAGGGGGGTAGAAAATGTGCAAAGTGCTGTGCCCCTGGATCAGAATCACTTCCCACCCCCTGCCTTTGCTCAGTCACATTTTACCACATCAGGCTCTCCCACAGGAGGGGGCAGTTCCCCTGAATTTGGGAGGTGCCTCTGCTTTTAACAGTAGCTCAGACAGAAATTCGGCATCTTCCCAGCAGCCTGAGAGATCGACGTCAGGGGCACTGAGAAAGGTTGGGCACACAGAGACCATTCTGCCAATCAAGCCCAATGTGAAGTGCTGATCTCTCCACACCCCCAGAGCTACAAGTCAAGTCTGGGTGACTCTTGTTTGGTTCTGAGCCTTGGCTGGGAGACTGAGCTGCAAGAAAGGCCTCGGACCTGACATGGCATCCGGAGGTTTTGCCCACATGGGCAGCCAGGTCCTAAGGGGAAAGCCAATGGTGTTAGAGGATGGGGTAGGGGGCTAAGCCATAAGTAATCCTCAAACCCAGTCTTCTTGTTTCCCCTCTCAGAAACCCCTGATCTCAACCAAAGCATGTACGAACTAGAAAGAACACACTGGAAGCTTGGGTCACCTCCCACCTTGCATGTCAGCCCAGAACTTGGTCCTCAGCTCAGGCCATAGAGAAGGGGACCAGCCCCAAGGACTGCCAGCTGCCAGCCCAGCGACAGTACCCAGCTAGGTGAGTTACCACCCTGCCCCTATGCCTCAGTTTCTCCTTATCACCAGGGTATTCTGTGAGAGGGGAACTGGGAAGCCATATTCCTCAGGTGGCAGAAGTTCCTGAGTGGGGGCAGCAGGGATGTGAGCCTTGGTGGCTGTGATGGCCTTAAGAACATTCATGCACGCCCTAGCCAGTTTCCTCAGTGGTTAGAGAATCAGCCTGAGGACTGAAGGGTCCCGGGTTTGATTCTGGTCAAGGGCACGTACCTCGGTTGCAGCTCAATCCCTGGCCCCAGTTGGGGCATGTGCAGGAGGCAAGCAATAGATGTGTCCCTCTCACATCAATGTTTCTGTCTCTCCCCATCCCTTCCACTCTAAAAATCCGTGGAAAAAATATCCTCAGATGAGAATTAACCAAAAAAGAAAGAAAAACACTCACCCCATAGAAATATTTCGGGCAGGACTAGCTTGATCCATGTTGAGACCCTATAGGATAGATGCTTGAGAAGTGGCTGTGGACTGACAGCTGAATCCCTATTGTCATTGTGGGGAGTACACGTACCCATTGGGCTGCTTGTGGTTGTGAACCTGACTGAGTGTGTGACAGCTGGGGGAGAAGGGGAGGGGCCAAGGATGACGGGACCTGCAGCCAGAAGGACTAAACCCAGAATTGCAGTCAGAACGCTGGGTGGACAACACTGTACCAAGGAGAGGGGAAGGGAGGGAGAGGAGACACACACAGTGGGGAGATGGGGGGAGAAGAAAGAAACAGAGACAGGGGACAGACAAGACAATGGGATTAGGAGGGAGAAAGGGAAGGAGGGAGACAGAAGGGCTAAGAATCAGAGCACCGGTGAATCTGTGAGGATAAGCTAGAAGCGAGAAAGACACACCAAGACATCTTTAGAGATGAAAAGAGCGCTGTGTTAAAATCTGTCTTCCCATGGGTCTCCCTCATCAAGCTGTAGGTTTTGAAGGCAGGCACTATCTTAAGTCATCTTTATGCCCTCTGTGCTTAGCATAGTGCAGACATAAGGGCACTGTATTTGTTGAATACAGAAAATACTAAGAAAACGCAGAATTTTGCCTTAGCCAGTTCGGCTCAGTGGACAGAGCATCAACCTGAAGACGGAAGGGTCCCGGGTTCGATTCTGATCAAGGGCGGGTACCTCTATGGCAGGCTCCTCCCTGGCCCTGGTCGGGGCTCCTTGCAGGAGGCAACCAATCTGTATGCTTCTCTCACATGGATATTTCCCTTTGTCCTTCCCCCTCTTTTCCACTTTCTCTAAAAATCAATAGAAAAATATCCTTGGGTGAGGATTTAAAAAAAAAAAAAAAAGGCAGGATTTTAAGCTAGAAGGGCAGAGAAAGAGATAGTGGCTCTGAGCTTAGACTTGAGTCACAGAGACATGCTTTCGAACCTCAGGTCAGCCTTTCCTAACTGCACGACTTTGAGCAAGACTGAGCCCCAAGTTGAGAGCTTACATATCAAGTTGCGGAGGCCGAACATCTGTAAAGCTCTCAGCAGAGCGCCTGTGTGAGCTCCCAACACTGTTAGTTACTGTTATTACTGTTGTCACAGGCCAATAAGTGAGACGGAGACGGGCATGAGTGGACTGCATGAATAGCCTCCAGTGAATGACTTTGCCCTCTAACTCCAGTGCCTGTCTACTTGAACTTCAGGCCTGGCTGTGTGACTCCCTCGCTTTGGCTGATGGCACAATGGTAAATTTGATGCCAGCAGAGACGCAAAGGTGTGAAAAAGACAGCCTGTTCCTGACTCCTTTCTTGCCAACTATCACAGCTGTGTCACAGAGCCCGGGGAAGATCAACCAAGTCCCGGCCAGATCAGTAAGACCACTCAGCCCGAGGCTTGGTCGAAATAATAAATAGTTGTTGCCCTGACCGGTTTGGCTCAGTGGATAGAGCATCGGCCTGCCGACTGAAGGGTCCCAGGTTCGATTCCGGTCAAGGGCATGTACCTTGGTTGTGGGCACATCCCCAACAGGGGGTGTGCAGGAGGCAGCTGATCGGTGTTTCTAACTCTCTATTCCTCTCCCTTCCTCTCTTTAAAAAATCAATAAAATATATTTAAAAAAAAAAAGTTGTTGTTTGAAGCCAGTCTTTGGGAGTGACTTGTTACAAGGCAGTAGCTAGCTGACACAAGGGCATGGTTACCCTTGTCCTTTAAAATGGAAAGGCAAATGAGAGAGGAAGTCAGGATCTGCCAGGTTTTATTTGTAGAGTCTAGTGAACTTGAACCAGAGAAAGCTGCAAAATGTGGTTTTCAGGCGGGCAGCAGCAGGGAGAGCTGCAACTGGGCAAGCAGAGGCTTGAGGGTAGGGATTGCCCTAGCCTGGCCCCTGCAGGTCTCAGGCCGTGGGGTCGTACACCCGCCCCATGAAGATAGGGAACCTGTGCTGCCGGTCCCAGAGCAGGAAGAGGAAGGGCTGCTGCACTTCAAAGAGCATTAGACTGCGGGCCACAGAGATGGAGGAGGCTGCAACCGCCTCCACCCCACTCTCCATCAGCTCCAGCGCCGCCTGGTGTTTCATCGCAGAAACCTGGAGGTCCGGGTCCTCTGTCAGCCCGCACAGGTTGAGATCATAAGCAAAGTCAAAGAATTCTAGGGCATAACCAGAGAAAAATAATGAGTCAAAGACCAGCACGAAACTCTCAGCTGTCGGAGACATGTGTCCGGAATTTTCTGGGTTGGTCCCAAATCCCAAGACTCTCTTCTTCCTCCTTATTGCTTATCAAAAATATATATCATACCTTCTGGTCCAGTTCCTGGGATCCTCTGCCAGGAGGCCCATCTTCACACCAACTACCACTTTCTCTCAAGTGGTGAGAGGCCTTGCCCCTTCCCCCCCCCCCCGCCAAACCCTGAAAAATGATGTCATTGCTTCTGTCAACAAGGACCTTGGAAGTGAGGAACTATATCAGAAAGAGGTCATGTGTTATCAAATGAGGTCATATACTAGGAAACAAGATAATCTATTAGGAGGTCAAGTTCTTGAACAGAATATGAAGCGATATATCTGGGAGTGAGGTCAAAAGTCAGGAAGTGAGGCCAAAGGTTAGGGAATGAAGTCTCTGTTGCCTCTCCTAAACTCAGAAGCCTCCAGTTACCCTCTTATCCTGAGTGCTTCTTGCACAATCTGTGGGATGGTTGAGTGTTATGAAATGTTTGTGGGGGAAGAGCATCCATGGTCCACCTACGTCACCTGTCACAGTGTCACAATGAACCATAGTGGAAACAGTCAAGAGAGCTGAAGACCTGGATTGGTGTTCTGGCTCACTTCTACCTAGCTCAACGGATCTTGGCTAAGTTATGTAAACTTTCTGAGTCATTTCCTCATGATATAATGAGATAATAGCAAATCCCTCTAACTGACAGGATCGAGGGACAACCTGAGATTATAGATATACAAAGTATTCTAGAGAGGGCTAAGTGCATTTTAGGGGCTCCCTCCGTCCTGCCACACTTTTCCCCTCTGATGATCTGGGAGCGACTCTGAGCTGCCAGGGCTCACCCAGTTTCTCCATGATTAACAACATGTCCTGGTTGCTCTTGAGTTTGAATCGGGGCAGCATCAGGAGAGTGGGCTGGAACTTGATCATCTCCAGCTTCTTCATGATGGCCTTTAAGACAGAGGGGTTGAGAGCCTGCTCCATGTCTTGGAGACTGTGTTTCATGTTCTGGGGTACCATGATCACCATGCTCAGGTTGTGGGAGAGCTGCAGTTGCCCCACCTGGAGGAAAAAAGATGCACCTTATCAGTCTTCCCACCCTCTGGGTCCCAAGGCTGATCTTCAGCCTGCTGTTCCAATCTGTACCATTTCAGCAAACAGCAGCCAGGCTCGGGCTTCCAGGTTTTGCCATGAAAATGGGGATGCCAGCCAGGTGAACAGTGCTGGTGAGATGCACAAGAATGAGCTCAAGTTTCTGATCACACAGGCTGAAGACGACTCTACCACTGATGAGCAATGTACTCCAGGCAAGTGATTTGATCTTTCTGAACCCTGTTCCCTTCCTCTCAAGTGTGCATAGGGTACCACCAGAGTTACCGGGTCAGTCCTTTGAAAGACTTGATGGCTCTGCAGTGCCTACGAGAGTAAGTATAAATCTCTTACTGTGACATTCAAGATTTTGTACAAGCGGGTCCTAGCTTACCTTTCCAGTTTGCCAGTAGAAGGACTTTCACTGATGGTCAGACAAAAATATATACGAAAAGTGCAGGACTCATGGGTCTAATATAGTGGTTCTCAACCCAGTGTGAATTCACCCCGAGTGGACATTTGGCAATATCTAGAGACATTTTGATTATCACAGCTGGAGGAGGGGGTAGAAGCCAGGGATGATGCTAAATCCTACAATGCCAGGATAGCACCTCATAACAAAGGATTATCCAACCCAAAATGTCAATAGTGCCAAGGGTGACACCTTAGACCAGTGGTTCTCAACATTCCTAATGCCGCGACCCTTTAATACAGTTCCTCATGTTGTGGTGACCCCCAACCATAAAATGATTTTCGTTGCTACTTCATAACTGTAATTTTGCTACTGTTATGAATCGTAATGTAAATATCTGATATGCAGGATGTATTTTCATTGTTACAAATTGAACATAATTAAAGCACAGTGATTAATCACAAAAACAGTATGTAATTATATATGTGTTTTCCAATGGTCTTAGGCGACCCCTGTGAAAGGGTCGTTCGACCCCCAAAGGGTTGCGACCCATAGGTTGAGAACCGCTGCCTTAGACGAATAGGATATAAGAGCATATCATTAAAAGGGCATGTGGTTGAGGTTGAAAGATGGATGAGAAGAATCTAGACTGTGGAATTCAATTGAGCAATGAAGAAATGAACGGAAACCAGTCAATTGTTGGAATTTGAAAATATGGCCCAGAAGCAGCAGGATATAAATTGCTATTGACTGAGGAGCATGGATATGGGGTCCCTGTTGATGGAGGCTTCAACTAGGGTGGGATCATCGGGGCAGTACGCACCCTGTGTATGTCTCTGACTAAAACATACCATGTTATGGCCTTGAATTTCCAAGCCAGTAACCTGAACATGCCTGAGCTGGTAACTCTAATCCCCCTAGTTGGATGAATACTCTTTAGGTCTTAGGAAGATTCAGAATTAAGTATGGAAAGGACAAAGTAAACCGACTTCATAATATTCACACCAGATGGTAAGTTCAGGATAATCTTAAGAAAATCAGACATACTAGTTTTATACTTCTAAGCAAAAAGGTATAGGATAATTTCATTAAGTTTGAGAATGATGTTGAGACGTTGGGGTTAAAATTAATTTACTCTTTAAATTTAATTTTCAGTTCACAGGTGTTTGGAAGATGTGGCCAAGCAAGGTTGTAATTCTGCCCTGTTGGGTATATGGTATACTTAAAAAGAAAATAAAGTATATTTATAAAGTATACCCATAAGCTCGAAGTGCTTATGGGAATATTCATTAACCATATTTGTAACCATGTTTGTAAATGGAACAAATGGTTTATAGAAGTGTAATCTGTTAGAAGTGACTTGATTAAAGAATAATCTTTGAGCTGACACCTGAATGAGCAGAAGGCACAGTTATGAGAAAATCTGAGTGAAGGGGGACGAGGCAGAGGGAAAGCTAAGGCCCGCTCCCAAGGTGGAAACAAGCCCGCGTGTTCCAGGACACATCCTTTACTTCTCAGCCTGGAACTGAGTCCTGGGTGTCTCCCACTGTTTTCTATTTAATAGGTCTGTGTCTTGATGTCCTAACAAGGCACATCTGATCACTGGGCATGAGACATTTTATTAATTAAAATCGTCTGGGCTCCATGTTTTCTGTCTTTCCTCCTTCCCCATCCACTGAAATGATACTCTTCAAATTCTGCTAAGGAACTTAAGCCATTAAACACATGTGCGCACACATACCACATGTATACACATACAGCTATACCTATACATGTGCACACATATGTGCATGCTGCACATGCATGCATACATCAGATGCACAGGACAGAAACACGACTCACTTTTTGTCATTTGATGGAGTAGAGATGAATGAAGAAACTTTAGAATCCTGCTTTCCAGCCTAAAATATACAATGCCTGCCTCGGCCAAGGCTGGAGAAAGAAGAAAGAGAAAAGGTAGGGTGGAAGTACAGATGGAAGGAGTAGAAATTAGTAAGGGTGCACCCCAAACAAATGGGGCCATAGCAGAAAAGAAATCAGGACACATAGGAGGCACTGAAACAGGAGTAGGAAGAGGCAAGGACTGACCTTGGCCTTCAACATAGGGTCAGTGAAATGGGCCACCGGGTACTTCTTGCTGGTCATCATGGGCACTTTTATCGTTGAGGATTTCAAGTAAAAGGGCTCCCTCCTGGTTTTTTTGTGATCAAATGGTGTCTTCCACTTGGCTAGAGGGAAGAGAGAGGGGGCCAGTTACTCTAATACAGGTGGGGAAAGGATATAGAGCTGAAGTCCCGGTTAGCCAAGGGTAAGACAGGTACAATGGGATCCAGTCATGGAATGTGGGGTTTGGTGGGCTTTGAAGCCAGGAGGGGAGGAAGGATTCAGGATGGGAAGATGACCTGGTCCAGGGCCCCCTTACCACTTAGATAGATAGCATTGAGGAGGACAAGGCGGGTGTCAGAGGGCAGGCTGTCTAGAAGAGAGTTGATCTTGTGGTTGGTGTTCTCCGCCACCCAGGTGTTGATGAGCTCCAAGTTGGCATCACTGTCATTTCCCAGGGTTCTGGGGCTGCCATACAGGTACTGAGAGGCGTTCATAAAGGCGTCCCTTATAACCAGGTCTGGTGGGGGATATAGGTCAAGAGAAGGAGGCATGAGTCCCCTGAACACTCTCCCCGCTTCTAAGAGCAGACTTAGAGAGGGGGTGTGTTTTCTGTCCATCTTTGTGCTCACTCCAATGAACACAGCATGTTGGAGCAGGGGTCCAGGCCACTCCTCGTACAGATGTGACAATGAGGCCTAAAGAAGGCAAATCCTGAACTTGTGAGCATGGCTGGCAAGGTACTTTGGAACTTCCGTTTACCTGTATTTCCCTCCCTTCTTTTCTTAATTCAAGAGGCAATAGAGTCTGCTTCCCAGCCTCAGCAAAAGTTTGTAATAAGACTTCCTGGCTTTGGCTCTCCAAAGCCCAGATCCACTAAAGAAAACAGTATCTGAAAGAGGAACTTTTCCTGGACTAAATAACTGATATTGAATGTAGTTGTATTTACCACCAACCCAGCAAAACAGAGGATCAAGTTGATTTATAGTAAATAAGTAAATACAATGTTACTCAAATGCCGTATTTTCCCATATCTAAAAAGAGGGTGTTCCCTCCCTCCCCACTTTGTTTTTCTGTATTTTCTCAGTTTCTACGATGAATAAGTATTGTTTTCATCAGTTAAAAAAAAAAAAAAGCCAGAGTGTTACCCTGGCCCATGTGGCTCAGTTGGTTGGGTGTCATCCCTGTGCACCGAAAGGTTGCTGGTTCGATTCCCGGTCAGAGCACATGCCCAGGGTGTGGGCTCAATCCCTGGTAGGGGGCATGCAGGAGGCACCCCATTGATGTTTCTCACATCAATGTTTTTCTCTCTCTTTCCCTTTACCCTCCTCTCTTTGTAAAAAAAAACCAAAAACACACAAGTAAAGAGAGGGTCAGACTACATCTATAATTTTCAGACTTTCTCAAGCAGCAGAGCTGTGTTTTCAAATAATGTCATGTCTGAAGCCCACAATATAAAAGGGTTGTGATTGAGGCTGGGCATGAGCTTAGAGCCCAGTTGGCTCTATGTCCCTCTCACAGGAAGTGGCACCCCCACCCCACTCTGCCTCCCTGATCCCCACTCCCTCCATGACTTCTGAAGGAGCTGTGCAGAACCCTAGGGCTCTGTGGACCAAACCTTGAAGAAAAAAATGCATTTGATCATGTTGGAAGTGTATTGCTCTTATTACCTACTTATTCATCTAACACATGTAAATGACAACAAATTCATAGAATATTAAAAAAGTGCAAAGACTAGAGGGCCCAAGATTCCCCTGACCCAGATTAACAAACATCTTTTGCCTATTTTATGTCTATAGCTCTCTAGTCCTATCTATTCATGAACTCTTATTCTAAACGGAGTTGATGAATGCAAATGACTTACCCAAAATCTCATCATGGGGACTCTGTCTGCTGAAGCCCTCACCTGCTCTGCAGTCCATCCTGGATGTTCTAGCTCTAACATTCCCACTGTCCTTTACCCCAGTGCTGGGTCCCCTTCAGCAGCCATCCCCTCCCCGGCACTCACCTGGGCTGTGGAAGATCTGAGAGACTGAAGTGAAGCCTTTGGATGTGAAGGCCTTCAGGGCCTGGTGGACACAGCTAAAGTCCTCAGGGTAGGAGAGGACGGTCTTCAGGTTTTCCTTGGTGCTGTTCCCGGCCCCTACAACAAAAAACAGAGATGAAGGCCAACTGCAGGAGGTGTGGGGGAGCCACTATCAGGACCACTTTAGAGGGACCAGCTGGAAGGGGGGTCATTGCTAGAAGGAGATCACATATCATCAGAGCTGGAAGCATGGTTTCAGGAGACAGTACATATATCAGAAAGAGAGAGGTCGGGGAATTATGAGTAATCATGGTTAGCCTTCTCCAGGACTGCAAATACTCTCCTCCCCTATTTTCTACCTAATTTTTATCCCACTCATCATTCAAAGCCTGGTGCCTGTTCTACATGAACTAGTATTTGGTTGGTTTAGGTTTATAAGGGTTCACCATATAGGCAGGGATACTAGATGACTATTAAGAGGAGAGTAGCTTGGTTGGTTAGAGTGTTATCCTGATATGCCAAGGTCGTGGGTTTGACTCCAGGTTGGGGTGTGCACGGGAGGCAACTGATCAATGTATTTCCCTCACATCGATGCTTCTCTCTCTCTCTCCCTTCCTCTCTCTCTAAAATCAATTAAACAAAGAAAAAAGAAATTAACCAAAAACCATCAACTGAAATGTGCCTTCCAGGGGGCACTTGGCAGTGTCCGAAAATACTCTGGTGTCATAACTGGAGGGATGCTACTGGCATCTACTGGGTAGAGGTTAGGGGGTGTTAGGATTCTGGGATTCCAGAGGAAAAGTTCTTATATATGCTCACTCTGTCTCTAGAAGCCTTCCTGGAATTTCCCCCTTAGAGTGACAGTTCTGTCCTCACTGCTTATAGTAATTTATTTGTGTCACTCCTGGGGTAATTCACCTGTAGCACTTGAGAGTAATCCTTCAGGAAGGCAGAGGGATTAGCATTTTTTGATCTCCCATCAAGCCAGGCACTGGGCTATCTACTTAATTTTAGGAGGTAAATACAACTCTCTCCATTTTACACACGAGGACTCAGGCTCAGAGATGTTCAGTGATCTGCCCAAGGTCACACAGTTAGGAAATCCCAGAATCCTAACACCCCAAACCTCTACCCACTAGATGCCAGTAGCATCCCCCCATTATCACAATTCTACTCTACTTTTATCTCTTATGGTTTCATCTCTCTTATTGTCTGAACTTGAATCATAATTAATGTCTGGGACCTTGTTTTATATGTTCTTGTATAGTCCATAGGGTTTTTATAAGCAATAGTGCCTATGAAATCATTGTTACATGAAAGAATAAATGAACGTTCAAGAATAAAAACATTACACCCCCGCTCCATTGCAACCCATTTTTATAGCTTCCTCACTGAGGCATAGCTTTGTAGGTATCTGTGTTGGGGATCTCATGGGAGAGTCCGACATATAACCCAGAGAGAACTCAGTTTCTTACCAAGCAGGACCTGAGTGAGCAGGCTGGCGATGCTGAAAGGCGAGAAGATCATATTGGTCTCGGCCTTCTTCACTGACGAGAAGGCGTGGTAGAGCTTCACGGAGAAATCCATCAAAGCCTCCCCCAATATGGTCTCTGCTGAAGGATTCTCCAAGTCAGGGCAGTAAGTCTCGGGCTCTGGGCAGGGCGGCCCAGTAGTGGGCAGGGTAGTTGGGTCGATAGGTTGAGTGGTTGACTGGAAGCAGGGCTGGGAGGTGGGGGGCCGAGTGCTATTGGCTCTTAGGATAGTTGAGTTGGTTGTTGGCATGGTGGAAGGGCCCATGGTGGGCTGAATGGATTGAATCTCGGGGATCTCTTTCTCTGAGCTGTTTTCGTTGATTTCATCCACCTTCTCTGAGCTGTTTTCGTTGATTTCATCCATCTGGTTCTTTGAATCCGTGAGGCTGAGGCTGGTACCATTAGGATTTGAGGAGGCTCTATCCTGTGGTTCAAGAAAAACTGTGTCTCATTTTTCTATGAGGCATAGTCCCCTCAAACACTGAAAGCGGGAAGAGAAGGTGGGGATGTGGACAATATTCTGTACCCAAGATAATTTCTGAAAAGGCCTGGTGGGTGAGGGACCTGCCCCAGAGCCGTGGCTACGGATTCCTCCAGAGTAGGGGGCAAGGCAGCGATGGGTGGGGTGTGGGCAGGGATTTCTCTGCAGAAGATGCAGAGCAGGCAGGGGACGCTGTCACCGCTGACCAATTACTGCCACATAGGAAGCTGTTTCCCAAACTTTGGAGCTGAGTGTCAGCAGCCACTTATCTGTGTTCTTGAAATAAATAAATATATCTGCCTGTCTTGGCTCACCTGCCTACCCAGGATAGACATTTGAGCTTGTGGCCTTTGCTTTAGAACAGTGGTTTTTTAAATTGTGGATTGCAACCCATTAGTGCAGCGGTTCTCAACCTGTGGGTCGCGACTCCTTTGGCGGTTGGATGACCCTTTCACAGGGGTCGCCTAAGACCATCCTGCATATCAGATATTTACATTACGATTCATAACAGTAGCAACATTACAGTTATGAAGTAGCAATGAAAATAATTTTATGGTTGGGTCACAACATGAGGAACTGTATTTAAAGGGCCAGAAGGTTGAGAACCACTGCATTAGTGGGTATTGAAAACAACTGGCATCCCAAAAGGAAGGAAGGCAGAAAGGGAGGGGGTGGGGGTGAGAACAGTATAGACCAGTGGCTCTCAATCAGAGACCACTTTGACCCCAGAGGACCTGTGGCAATGTCTAGAGCAGTGGTTCTCAACCTTCTGGCCCTTTAAATACAGTTCCTCATGTTGTGACCCAACCATAAAATTATTTTCGTTGCTACTTCATAACTGTAATGTTGCTACTGTTATGAATCATCATGTAAATATCTGATATGCAGGATGGTCTTAGGCGACCCCTTTGAAAGGATCGTTCGACCGCCAAAGGGGTCACGACCCACAGGTTGAGAACCGCTGGTCTAGAGGCACCTTTGGTTGTCATATGGGAGAGAAGAGGATGGGGGGAGAGCGGAGATGCTATGGCATCTAGTGGGGGAGGCCAGGCTTAGGGCACAACATCCTACGGTGCATAAGACAGCCCCTCATACCCAGGAATTAACCAGCCTCAAATGCTGTTTCTTCTGGGTTGAGAAGCCATGTACTTATTATCCCCATTTCACTGATACAAGAAACTGATGCTGAGACTAAGTAACTGGCCCAGGGTCTCGCAGAAGCTGGAGGAAAAACTAGGAGGCAACCCTCAGTCTGATTCTGGGTCCCTGAGCATCACTACATCACCTGCTGAATCTCAAAGGACCCTGCGGGTGCCACCTTCCACACACAGGAACACATAGGCCAGAGTAAGCACCCACCTTGCTTTCCCTTGACCTCCCAGACCACTGGGACCTCTCACTGATTAACACCCATCCAGGTGTGTCTGCTACCACTCGCTTTCACAGGCCCAGCCTCCGGAGAACCTGTGTCTCTGCTGCAAACCCACAGCTCAGTGTCCACAACAACCCTTGCTTTTACATCGCAAAATGCTGTCCATTTCCTTGCCTGGCTTGGTCCTCCTTTATTCTCCACTTTATAAATTAGAGCAGGAGGGAAGTGACTTGCTCAGGGCCACCAGGCTGGTGCCTAGCGGGTCAGGTTTCGAACCTGTGTCCCTCTGAGTCTCCAGCTCTTTCCAGTCTCTCTATGAATGGAGCTGCAAGGATCACATTGTATGATCCCAAGAGGAGCTCTCCTCATTCTCCCGGGCCTGAAGGGTTAATCCTAGGCACCCCTCCACTCCCATCCCACGAAGGGCCACTCACCCCAGCCAGCAGCAGCAGCAGCAGGAGGGTCAGCGGGGTCAACCTGGAGGCCATCTGGGAGGCAATGTCAGCCTGGACCTGCGGAGCCAGCCAGAGTCAGGGCCGGCTTCGAGGCGTGGGGCCCACCCCCAGGCCCGCCCCCATTCCATTCCGGGGCCCTTCCCCGCCACCTTCTTCCAGGCTCCTCCCTCTGTTTTGTTTTTCCCAAAACCGCTTCCCTTTCCCGGCACCGGCTGGCTCAGCCTCCCCCTCCCTGCCCCCAGCCTCCCCCCAGGCCCGGGTCTCCGTCCATCTGTTCCATCCTGGGGGTCCTGCTTTAGCCAAACAATGAGGCCAGAGGCTGGGGGAGGAGGGGAGGTCCAGAGGGGGCTGCCCAAGAGGGGAGGAGGGGGGGGAGGCAGAAGCCTCTAGGTCTAGGGGGAACCAGGTCTGTAGAGACTGCAGAGATAAAAGGGGGGGGGGGCAGGAACTTGGGGAGGAGAAAAGGGAGATGAGAAGACCCCCTCCCAATCCCCCCTCCCAAGAACCAAACCTGCTTCCCAACTCCTGGTCACCGGGCAGCTTTAGTGCAGACTGAGTGGCTAATCCCACGGGGTCAGGGAGGGTGGGGTGTGTATGTGTGTGGGGGGGTCGGTCTTCGCTATTGGCTGGCCCAGGTCACAGCCCAGTTACAAATTAAGGATGATTGATCGCTGGTGTGAGTTCCCGTAAATCACAATGGGAGGGGTCCCTTGGTGGGCTTTGGGGGCTGGAGCAGGGATTTAGCCTGAAGCCCCTGGGGAGTAGAAGTGGGTAAGCTTGGATGCAGCTCTGAGCTTTACAGAAGGAAGCTCAGCTCCTCCACCTTCGTGGGTCACGATAGAAGCAGCACAGGCACAGATTGCTCCACAGTTTACAGGCAAGCAGAGTTGCTCATCTCAGCTGATCTTCCAAGTAACCCTTTGGAAACTGGCCCCTTTGTGACCATTTGATCGTTAAGTCATTGAGCTTATTTGCTAAATCGGGCAACCGTGCCTCCTCTGAAAAACAAGGCCCTCTTCGGTGACCTGATACCGCTCGCATGTTCTATGACTGTCTCACGGCTGGGCCTGGCAGGAACGTTGGCTGTTAGCACCAGACGTGCTTCTCTAAGGGACTGACAGGGACAGAAACGGGAGAGAATATTTATATGTCATGTTGGGGGGCGGGGGAGGGGCTTGGAAAAGACCTATGAAGACTCTGCACCTGCAACTTCATTTCCTGTGGCCACTTGGGAACCTCCTACAGGGTGGGGAAGTTCCTTCACATCAGTGCCAGAAATAAAATGGAGTCACTCTAGTCAAGCTGCTGAATTACTAAGATCAAGAAGGCTGAGGCATGAGTCTACTCTCATTGTAACTAACCTGGGGACTTAAACTTTTGAATTTGCCAGTCCTATATCAATGCCTGAATATACACCAAACCTCTGATTGCCCCTCAAGAGGACTCATGTGTCTAGACCACCTGACATCCATCATCCTGACTGCCTGACATCTGACTGATAGCCATCCTGGACCAATCCTAGGGCTAAGAGTGCAGGATTGGTTATTTCCAAGAAGGCTCTTTTTACTATAAGAACGCTTAACTGCTCTTTCTTCTTTGGAACACTTCTGGGTTTTTGTCTACCTGTGTTGCCGGTGTGCAAACTCAAAGGCCCTTGAATAAATCTTTATCATTTATTTCTAGCCAAAGCCTCCAGACCCTTTTTGAGTTCATATGACACATGGTTGGAGCAGCTGCACACACAATATCACTTCTCTATCCCAGGACCCAACCGAGATCACAACCTACTTCTTTGATCTCACACTGAGATACATTTGGGTTGACCCCCTAACTGCACACTGGTTCTAACTGAGGGCCTCGAAGGCACATTGAGCTTGTGAGTTCTGGGAAGTAGTCAGCCAAACAAAAAGGTGGTGGTGGAAAACAACCTCACTCATCCTCTCCTTAATTCTCATGACACCTATGAAGTGGGTGCTAATATTAACCCCACCTTAAATGAGAGAGAGAGAGAGAGAGAGAGAGAGAGAGAGAGAGAGAGAGAGAGAGAGAGAGAGAGACTCACAGAAATTAACTGACTCAGCCAACATAGTTAGTAAGTGACAGGGCCAAAATATGGACCGAGTCTTTTGACCTATGCATTACTGGCATACACCAAAGCTAGCCTGAAGCAGGCAGGGGACTGAGCATCCTCTGCCCAGCTGCAGGAGTCTGATGCTCTGTGGACCAGAGTCTCAGGGTGGACAAGGCCCGGTGGAGAGGTTTCCCAGCCTGGGGGTCTACTTCCTTCAGCCATCTCAGCTCTCTGGCCAAAGCCATCCCTGTACTCTGCACGTTTAGCGCTGTGTGTGCTCTGTGGAGACTTTCCTGCCTGAAGAGCTGGAGCTGAAGCGGAAGCTCTCCCCAACTTTTCCCCAACAGAATGGCCAGAGGTTGACTTAATTGCGGTGTTTGGAGAATTCCTCCCTAGCGTGGGTGTTCAGACAGTCAGTCAGTTTAGGGCTGCGACTTCCGTCCTTCCCCCAGCCCTGGGCAGATCTAGGTTGTCTGTGCCATGAGAACCTTCTCTTCCGGTGAGTGAGGAGGGATGAGGCCACAGGGACGTCTTCCCCCATGTTTTATGTGTACATGGCTTCTCCCCGCTGTGGGTTTTCTGGTATTGGATGAAGTTCAAGTTCTCACTAAAGCTCTTTCTGAACTCAGAATATTTTATCAGGTTTTTCTCCCAGGCAGGTCCTCATATACTAAAGGTTCCCATTGCTATGGGTGAACACTTTCTCACAATCAATATACCTATACTTTCTCCTCTGAAGAAAAATTATACAAAAACTTGGAAACAAGGCAGAAGGATCAGGGTTAGCTGATTCTCACAACACAGTCATTCAAGTGATAATTTTCTCAGTTCTCCCACAGAAAGGACTCAACTAGTACCACTCTAGACGCAGAAAGATGCTGACTGATTATAAAGAATGCCTTGGGCATTAGGGGTCCATCCTCTTTTCAGAATACCATTCAAGGGGAATAAAATTTTCTTTGACTTCTTACAGGTGTATGGTTTCAATTAAATAAGATGAAGAAATTCTAGAGCTCTGCTGTACAATATTGCACCTTTGGTCCACAATAATGTGCAATTAAAATGTGTTCAGAGGATAAGTCTCATGTTGTGTTCTCATGAAGATAAAATAAAATAGTCCCTTTTCTTTTAATCTTCCCTCAGTCTTCTGGTAGGAGATGGGTGGGAATGAGAGACAAAGACAGGAATTAGATCCAAATAATTGTTCAGACACAAACACCCAGAACCTCAAACTCACAATGTATTTGAAGATCCTGGAAGGCCAAGGAATACAGAACTTTTCTGGGTAGACAGAAACAAGGGATGAGTCTTTTTTTTTTTTAAAATATATTTTATTGATTTTTTTACAGAGAGGAAGGAGAGGGATAGAGAGTTAGGAACATCGATGAGAGAGAAATATCGATCAGCTGCCTCCTGCACACCTCCCACCGGGGATGTGCCCGCAACCAAGGTACATGCCCTTGACCAGAATCGAACCCGGGACCCCTCAGTCCACAGGCTGATGCTCTATCCACTAAGCCAAACCGGCCAGGGCGGGATGAGTCTTTACGGGTGTTTTAATGGGCTCATTTCTTTCGTTCTAAGGAATTTTTATATTACTTTGTCAAAGTTGTCACTGCAATATCATGTATATATTTTGTAAAAATTTTCGGACAACCCAGACATTTATAAAATGAAAAGAGATTGCAGATACAACTGCTGGTAACACTTGTAAATGTAGGGAGCGGCTATAGGGTTAAGCCTTGGACTGACCTGTCGGCAAAGCCACAAACAAGTTCCAGTGTAGAGGGCAAAGCCCTCTTAATATAATTAGGCTTGACCTTATGGCTCCCTAGATCCTATCTGGGTAGCTAATGGGCTATGGGAGGTGCAGCAGCAGTGCTGCCAAAACAAGTGAAACTCACAAGAACATTGTAACTATGGTGACCACTACCTTGTTTACCTCTGGCTGTAAAATAAAGGCTCAGCGTGCTGTCAGGTTCCCTCTCTGTGGCCTTAGCCAGGCACAGGAGACCTAGACCCAGCTTATTCTCTATGTCTGTCTGTTCTAAATCATGCGCCGCACCCCCTCAGGCTCACCGAACCCTTGGCTGAGCTGGCCCGGCGCAGTGTGTTTTTCCAGACTTCCTCTTTGTGGATAAAAATACATAATTTTATACATCTTTCCCAAACACATAATTATTACTCTTCCATATTCCTTTTCTTAATTAAGTGTCAGGGCATTGTTCTATCTCATTCTTCCTAACAGCTGCATAGTAGTCCATGTGTGGTTGGTATCACAACCTGTTTCTTTGATCTCACACTGAGACCCATTTGGGGGGACCCCAGGCCCCTAGCTGCACACTGGTTCCAAAAGGCTCGCTCTTGCCTGCCAGCTCTTACATTTCTCGCTCAGCCGCTTACCTGGCTTCCCTGCCACATTTCTGTCTTTGACCTTTGCCTCCGACTCTCTGTTGCCACCTCTTTGGCTAGAAAACCCAGGTTTGGACTATTTACGCAGCTGTGAATTTAGTCCTCTTCAGATGGTAAGTTCTTGTTTTGAATTTTGTTTTGAGATTCTATAGCTATACCTATATCTATATCTATCTTTATCTGCTATCTATCTATCTATAAGAAAGACAAAGGCAAGCATTTATTCTAGTAAGGTCTTCAACTAATTGGGGTGAGGCCCATCCACATTATAGAGGGCAATCTGCTTTATTCACTGTCCACTGATTTATACATGTACGTGTATATATGGATGTACACACACACACACACACACACACACACACACACACACACACACACCTGTTGGTTCTGTTTTTCTGGATAACCCTAATACAGACCTAAACTGAAGGCTCACTATTATGTGCTGCTTTGACAGCTGGTAAAACGAGGAGAGACGTGAATGGCCCAACTTCAAGTCCCTCCCCACTCTGCTTCCTCAGATCAGATCCTGGAGCCAAATAACTCTCCTTATCAAGGAGACCAGGCAGAGTTCCTACTTACTCTGAGTAGTGGGTTTCGGAATTATTCAAACAAGTCAACCACATAGTACATCCTCCCATGGGAACCGGGGGGCACCGCACCCTCTTTGTACTAGAAACGCCGAGCCCCAGAGCCCCTGGTTGCTCGCTCTGTTCCTGAGTGCAACTCCGGGTGGCCCTGTGTGGCATGTGATGTCCTCCCTTCAGGATGGGAGCATATGTGAGCAATCACCAGCTGTTATCTTATCCATCCAGTGTTAGGTGCCATGGGTTCAGCCATGCCCCTAACTATCAGGCAGGAATCCTTCCCTCAGCAATGGGACAAATAAGAGATGTTTAAAACAAAAAGTTACTATTCCATCAAATTCTCCCAACACCTGGGGTTGTCATGTAAACTTTTAGCCAATCTATTGTCTCATTATGGCCTTAATTTTTATTTCGTTGATTACTCATGAGATTGAGCACTTCTTCATGCGTATTGTCTTGTCTATTTGTATTTTTCTTTGGTAGCGTTCTGATGAAAACAAAATGCAGTCCTGCTTAGCTCCTCTGGGGAGCTGACTCCCCAGGACGCAGGGCTTGGCAAGAGCAGGCTGCGGGCCAAGTCCTGACTCTCTGGGCAGGTCAAAGGCCATGGGGCAGGGATGGCTCATCCCCTTCCTGGGAGTGTGCTGGAGGAGCCCAGGGGTCCTGAAGGACCCAGAATGAGTAGGAATTCCAATCTTGGCTCCTTGAGGCTTTCTATTCCTAGACCTCAGTCATCTGTAAAATGAATGGCTTTCATATTTGCTTTATCTCACACACCCCTATACTATATGTTCTTTCATATTTGTATTGGACTGAATTGTGTCCCCCAAAATTTGTATGTTGAAGCCTTAATCTGCAGCTTGTATCTGGAGAGAGAGCTTTTAGGAGGTAATTAAGTTTAACTGAGGTCATAAGGGTGGGACCCTGATCCAATAGGACTTGGCTTTATATGGAGAGAGAGAAAGAGAGCGAAACCCACAGATACACACTCCGTTTGAGGACACAAAGTGAAGAGGCCAAGGGCGTCTGCAAGCCAGGAAGAGGGACCGTCCCAGAACACTATGCTGGCATCCTGATCTCAGCGTTCCAGCCTCTACAACGGTAAGAAGATAACTTTCTATTATTTAAATCACCCAGTCGATGGCATTTTGCTGTGGTGGCTCGAGCTGACTACTACAATATTGTTTAATGGACTTGTTTTGTTTACTTGAATACACTTATATAAAAAGGAAACTTGACATCTCTGTAAATGGAAAATCAGTAGGCCTCACTATTAATAGAATGAATCTGGGCCGACCAGACACAGGGCCTTGAGCCCGGGGTACTTTTAGGGGTTTATGAAAATACTTTTATTTTAATTTTTAAAAAATTAACAGAAGAAACAATAAATGTAATAATGAATCAGATCTGGATTATATTCTTACTTGTACTAATGCAATAATAACATGTAACTTTAAAAAATATATTTGTATTGATTTCAGAGAGGGAGAGAGAGAAACATCAATGATGAGAGAGAATCATTGATTGTCTGCCTCCTGCATGCCCTGCACTGGGAATCAAGTCTTCAACCTGCGCATGTGCCCTCCTGGTTCATAGGTCAACGTTCAATCACTGAGCCACGTCAGCTGGGCAGTAAAATGTAATTTTTAATCGAAGAAGGGGCCACCCAAGGTAAAAGTGACCAGGGCCCCTGAAAGTCAGAATGCAGCCTGGAATGAAGGTACCTATGAAATAGACGCCACGAGGATTTCAGTACCAGAGAAGAGAGTCTATAGAGTCCTACTGAATTGAAATAGAGAAGGGCTACATCTTAATAAATTGACAACCAAATTTGTCATTTGATTAAACTGTTAGTTCAGATAAAACTTGTATTACTTTTCCAGCTTGTATACTGTTTTCCATACAATTGCTTTCATACAGATTATTTAGCAAAGTTCAGGTTTCAGAGTGCTTTCGCTTCATAAATTTAGGCTCTGCTATGTTTGACCTTTTTGTTCAGTAAAACTTACGATATTATGAAAACAAAACAAAAAGAAATATGCTGAACAAAGCTATCAGATTTAAGTTCAGCCTCCTAACTTAGTCATTCTAACATGATTATTTGATTTGGGGTGGTTGCCCTGGTGCTGCTCCAGCCTGAGCTTTGTGTGAGCTACCTCCAGGCTATGGTCTGAGCAAGCAGGAGATACACTCTGATCTGCATTAAATCAGAAAAATGTCCTTTTGGCTGTGTCTAAAGGGCAGGACCCACTTCAGATTCTCCAAGGAGCCAGCTACAAAAAGCCTAGGACACTGCTGTCTTGCAGGCAGCACTTAAGTAGATCTTCATCCAATTCAATATCAAGGGCATTCCTACTGGTTGAGACCCATATGGGGAGAACTTAATGGGACCTTCTCAGCAAATGGAATCATAGGAGTCCTCTGTAGGGAGTGATTCTGAAGGAGTCCTTTCCTGGAATCATAGTCTAACTGAAGAAAAAACTTACATACAATAATATGCATAAATAGATATGCATATGTGTATCTTTGTGCTTGGGAGATTGTCATAGTGTAAACCATGAACAGCCTTCTCTTTATGCACAATCCCATAATAAAACTCAGAAACCAAGACAAAAGAAATTGGTTTCCAGGGATCTGAGCTTTGCTCCCCATACAAGTGTTGATGCATTTTTATGCTTTTTATGATTTCCACATTAGCAGAAGTTTTCGTTTTTTTAAATAACTCACATTTTTATTACTAAAAACAGAAAATTTGAGTACATTTAGAAAAATAGAAAAAGTAGAAACTGCTATTAATCTTGTGCATTAAATAAGCAAGCAATGGTATCCCAATTATTTTCTTGATTATTAATGAGGTTAAATACTTTGTATTTATTTTAGTAGTTACGTTTTCTCTTTGATCAAATGTTCATGTCCTTTGCCTTTGTGGTACTTATTATAGTTGCTTTGTTTTTCATATCAGGTTATAGAATGTCTTTATATAATAAAATATAATTTAAAAGGAAATGGGGTTTATAGTGAAAAAGTTTCCTTCCCTTCCCATACTTAGTCACCTAGTTACCCTCCCCAGGGGCCATCACAGGATCTTGTACCTTCCAGACATGCTGCAGGCATATGAAGGTGAATATTGTATTACTAAAGGCCTGATGCACGAAATTCATGCAAGAGTAGGCCTTCCTTCCCCTGGCTGCCGGCACCGGCTTCCCTCTGGCAGCTGGGACCCGGGCTTCCCTCTGGCCTCCGGCTTCGTCCAGAAGGACATCCGGTTTATTACCCTTTTATTATTACTAGATTATTATTACCCTTTTATTATTATAGATGATTATACAATCACTTATTGTCCAAATATCAATTCATTACTCCTTACACCCATTGTTAAGAGCCCCATTTTACAGATAAGGAAATGGAGGCACAGATAGGCTAAGTAATTTGCCCAAGGTTTTTCAGATAATAGTCGAGCTGGGATTGAATCCTCATTTGTACCTGGGAGTTATAATTTTCTTTTTTTTTTTTTTTTAAATGTATTTTATTGATTTTTTACAGAGAGGAAGGGAGAGGAATAGAGAGCTAGAAACATCGATCAGCTGCCTCCTGCACACCTCCCACTGGGGATGTGCCCGCAACCAAGGCACATGCCCTCGACCGGAATCGAACCCGGGACCCCTCAGTCCGCAGGCCGACGCTCTATCCACCGAGCCAAACCGGTCAGGGCGGGAGTTATAATTTTCAAAGTTCCTCCACTTCTGTGAGCTTAGCCTCACTGTGGTCCTGGGAAGGAGGTGGGAGGTTCCACAGCCCACCCAAGGCCATGCTGCACTGGGGGCCCAGGTGGAACTAGAATCAGGTTCTCCTTGGAGCTCTTTCTGGCACACACACACAAAGGTCTGCACTGTGTAAGGACAAGGCCATGCACGTGGGCCTCCCAGCTGTATGGGCGGTTAGAGTCCATCCCAGGATGGGGCGGCTGGGTTAAATCCATGACTAAATTCAATTCACTTCGGGGATGTGGGGTTTCTTGATGAGAAAGGAAGGCGCGCCGCAGGACGTTGGACAGACTTTGCTCCACATTATGGAACTGCTTTCAGTTTCCACAGGCCCTGTGACCACACCTTTTCTTACTCTGTTCTCTCTTCTGGGAACACACTCAATCCCATGTTCTTACTCCAGCGAACTCCCCATGTGTTGCAATGCACTTGGGTTTTTATGTCTTCCAGGAAACCTTGCCCCTCTCTGAGGTTGCATCAGGTGACCCCTACTCCAGGCTCCCACAGCACCAGGTGGCTCCCTATATCCTCCCGAGTACCACTTTGCATTAAAAACGCAGGGGCCGAATTCTTTCCCTCAAGGGCAAGGACCCCACTTTCTCCTCCCGCTGTTCCCTAAAGGTCAGGGCCCTGCGACACTCAGTAGTAAATGCATGTTAACTGAGACGAATGACCAGAGGTAGGGTGAAACGCCCGGGTTCCCTCATCTCTACCTAGATTGTGGCCAGTGTCCAATTCATTTCTGGCATGTAGAGGAAGCCGAGTTAAAGTTTACTGAATTGAACAATTAATCGTTCTGCAAATACATCGTACATCTGCCCAGAAAAGCAATTCGGTTCCAAGGCACTTAGATAAAAACCCCGTGAGGTGGTGGGCACAGAACTCAAAATAGGAGCTCAAAGCATGCTCATTTCCTCCTCAGCTGGACTGTAAGCGGTGGGGGCAAGGAAAGTGGGTTCAGTCCTCTCAAGGAGTCTCATTATTACTAGGGCATTCTTCCCCAGATGCTGCTCCGTGCCCAGAGACTGCTCTTCTAGGGTGGCGTCAGCTCCAGGCTGGGAATGGGTCCCTGCTCTTAACGCTCCTGGCCCCTTGGGGAGGCACACAGTAGGCCCGCAGGTTGTAATAGATCGGTGGTAAAATAAGGGAGGTTCCTGAAGTCCGTCTTGGGGCCGCCCCCACCCACTGTTTTCCCAATCGACACATAGCAGGCACTTAACTAAATATTAAATCTAATAAAGGACCCAAAGCAAGAGCGAATGGCTCCAACAGCGCCCCTTGCGGCGCTCTTCACCACGCCGTCACCAGCGAAAACCGACCCTCAATTGCGCCATCGCAGGCTAGACCGCACAAAGGATCTCAACTGCCTGGGCAGGGCCTTTGGAGGGCATATAGTGCATGCTGTGCCCCACCCCTTTTTAGAGATGGGGCAAGGGGCCCAGAAAAGGGAAATGACGTGTCCAGGGGGCTCCAAAAATTCGCTAGGGGGGCTCGGGGCAGCGGTTTGAGGGTGGAGGCCTCCGAGCGAGCTGCCGGGAGCTGCGTTTGCAGAACCAGCACCTCGCAAAGACTTGGGGCGAGTATGTGTTTGGAGCGGCGGGGAGCTGGGGGAGCCCGGGCGCGGCGTCCGGCAGCGGAGTGGAACCAGGACCCGGATGGGCGGACCCCAGCCCCGCGCCCCGCGCCCCGGAGCGCTCGCCGCCTGGTGCACGGCGCCCCCCAGTGGGACGCCAGGGTCTAGTCACGCCGCGCGCTCCCAGGCCCGCCGCTCTCCGGACAAAGGGCGCGAGTTCCAGGGATCCAGCCCACCGCGCCCGGGCCCGGGCCGGCCGTCTCCTGCCCCCGGCGGCCTCCCGTTATCAGCGGAGTCGGCGGGGAGCAGGTTCCCACGGTCCCCCGGCCTGCGCGGGGCGCGCGGGAGAGCGGAGCGTGGGCGGGGCTTCCGGAGGCGGGGGCCTCGAGGTCACTGTCGCTGCAGTCACCGGAGCCCGCACTCGGTCCCGAGATGACGGCGTGCAAGCGGGTGGCGAAGGTAAACGCACGTCGGTGGCCCCTTTCTCACGGCTCCCCTCGCCGCCCCCAGCCCCTCTGCCCGCCGTCCCTCCCCGGGCTTCCCGCGCGCACCTGTTCGTGCAGGTTCCCGGGCTGCTGAACCCTGTACCCCGCCCCTCCCGGAGGAGGAAGGGGCTGCGAGAGGGGTCGGCGCTGGAGGTCTGGGAGCGGAAGGATATTTCGTGCCGCCGGCTCCGTGAGCCGTAACGAAGATGGGGATTAGCTGGCTCTCCGCAAACTGGTTTCAGTTTCTTTTCACCTGCCAGAAACTTGTGATAACGGTTGTTTGCGTCTCAGGTGCTGAAGGGTTCCAGGAGCCGGGTGGGGGTGGGGGTGGGGGTGGGGTGGGATGGGGGTGGGGTGGGCTGGGCTGGGCTTGAACAGAGATATAACCAGGACAAGGTCCTTGTCTTGGAATAGCCCGGGACCCGCCTCCTAATTTGGTACCTACATCACCAGAGTCCCGAGATGTCGGGGGTGCTGAGTAGAAGTTAGGAGTGCCGAGTAGACATTGGGAACAAAGTTCCCTGGGTATTTTCAGGAGGAAAAGCTATCAAAGCGGATCTGGACGGTGTCCTGGAGTGTAAGAGTGTGCATTCATTCGTTCTACAAATGTGGAACGCCTACTATGTGCTGGTTCCTGTGCAGAGATGAGCAAAAATCTTTCCAGTCGGGGACACAATTTGAAATGAGGTCTGGAAGGATGGAGAACAGAGGATTTTCTCCAGGAGGTGGGGAATCCCAGGGTGTTTTCAGGACTGGGTGGAGCCAGGAGATAGAAGGGGAAGGAAGAGCAATCCTGGTGAAGTGGGTCTGACATCCCCCAGACTCTGCCCTTCTCAGAAGTGCCCCTCGAATGTGCAGAGTGGGGGACAGGCTTGAGGAGGGTCACGGGGGGAGGGAGGGGGGGAGGGCGGTGGTGGTGGTGCTTGCTACCCTCAGCCGTTGGGAGGAAGGCGGTCTCAGATTGGGGCACCTGGAGCAGACACAGCTCAGAACTGAAATCTCAAGGTTGGGCAGAGGGTCTTCCAGCCGAGCTAGGAGCTGTATTTGGTATTTATCCCACTGGCACCATTGGGTGCCAAGCAGTTTACACATTAGTCATTTCATCTAATTGCCACTTCCCCCATTTTACAGATGAGGAAATTGAGGCTCAGAATCACTGGGTTGTCAGGGTCATCCAGTAGGGAGTGGAGGGGCTGGGATTTGAGTCCAGGTGGATGGGGCTCCAACCCGCAGCTTCTTTCAGGGGCCTCTCTGCTTTCATTTTCTGTTCCTCTGAGTCTGGTAATTTCTTTACAGGCCTCAGGAAAGAGCTGTGTGTCCTTGCTTGGGTTTCCACATTCTCGGGCTTGGGGAAAGTTTTGGCAGAACTCACCTAGAAGAGTGTTCTAGGAAATGTCTATCCCACAGCGTCTCTGTTCAACTTTGGCCTTCATTGTTTCCAAAGAGTCACAGATTATATTGGAACTAGGACTTGGATAGCGGATGCTTCTGGTTTGGGGTAAATGATAAATGAGGGACAGATACTTTGGACAGAAGTAGTTTGTTGGCATGAACAGAGATGGAGTATGGGCTGAAACCTAGGAAATGGGGAACGGGTGTGTTTATATATTGGGGGGCAGATGAAGTTCAGCTGGTCCACAGTGCTAAGAGACCCCTCCTCGTGGAGAGGCTGTGGGAAGCTTTCTCCCTGCTTTTGTTTACACCAGGGTCTGTCTCTCAGCCTTGCCACATTGACATTGTGGGCTAGATAATATTTTGTAGGATGTTAATGAGCATCCCTGGCCTCTGCCCACTAAGTGCCAGTAGCATCCTCCATTCTGTGTTCCAGAGGATACGACCTGCCCTTGAATGTCTTTTAATCTTTAAATTGTTCCCCTCACCAAAGGTCTGTTGTCCCACAGGATGAACCCCGAAAGGGAGGGGGCTCCTTGGTCAAATAAGATTGAGAAGCACTGTATGTCGTGGGCTCACATCTTGGAGGTTCATGACACACAATAGCATATCAAAGACTTGGGAAGTCCTGCCGTAGAGAAATCTGCTTAGCCCAGTGTTTCCCATTGCACTTGACCGTGGTAACCGTTAACCTTGAAGGAGACACACTGTGCACATTTGCTCTGACTGGGCCCTCTGCCTTGGTGCCTCTCCCCTTCTCTGCAGGGTGGCCTCCTTTAATTCCCCATGATCCAGCTTAGTGTCACCTTCTGCAAAGCCTTCCTGCTGTCCCCTCCTCTCCTTCCCCGTTACTGTCCACATCACCACACCCCTGGGTCCTCCATTGCTCCAGTGAAGTTCTTGAGGACTGGGCCCTGTCTTAGTCAGGTGTTAGCAGAGGCTGCTCAGGAAGGGCTGCTGGGAGAATTCAGCGATGTCCAGGTGACTGGGCCACGTTGCTAGGAAGGTGAGTCACTCCTGTCCCTTGTTTCTCTGCATGGCGTGTAGACTCCTGCTTTGCTATGGTCTGAGTCACCTTCCTCCCTCACCCTGGGATGGAGGAGTCTGCCAGGCACAGGGTGATGTCTCTGCTGCTGTGAGCATGTAAGGACACACTGTCACGCTGGACACGAGTGGAGGCTAGGGAGGGCCAGAGGGAGGGAGGGTATTGGGGTCTTGTGACTCTCTAGGAAAAGGACTAGAGCAGCGGTTCTCAACCTGTGGGTCGCGGCCCCTTTGGGGGTCGAACGACCCTTTTCCTAAGACCATCGGAAAACACATATATAATTACATATTGTTTTTGTGATTAATCACTATGCTTTAATTATGTTCAATTTGTAACAATGAAAATACATCCTGCATATCAGACATTTCCATTACGATTCATAACAGTAGCAAAATTACAGTTATGAAGTAGCCACGAAAATCATTTTATGGTTGGGGGTCACCACAACATGAGGAACTGTATTAAAGGGTCGCGAGAACCACTGGACTAGAGGATGGAGGTTAAGTGCCTTGGTTTTAGGAGAAACGACTCCTAAGAGAGTTGACCCCCAAGTTCTAACATCTGGAAGCAGTGACCTTCATTTTCCTTTCCCCTGGCACCTCCAGAGCTGTGTGAGGCTAACACGGGCTGTCACTGAAAGCACGTAGCACCGGCCTGGCACATACTAAGTGCTCACTAAATGGGAGCTCTGACTTTGCCAGCTTCTGCCCCGTTCGGGACTTGGGACAGCTTGTGCTGGGGCAGGGGGAGGTGGCTGAAGTAGGGGAGACGAAGCCAACTGCCCCCCCCCCCGCCCCTCAGGAGCTGGAGGATCTTCAGAAGGACCTTCCCCAGTACCTGCGGAACCTGTCCAGCGATGATGCGGACGTCCTGGTGTGGCACGCTCTCCTTCTGCCGGTGAGTGTCCCTAGGACCCTGGTCCTGGGTTGGGGTGACTTAGGCCAGGGGCCTGGGCAGGGATGGTTAGGACTGGGCAAGAATTTTCCCTGCCTTGGAGTTCCTTTTTTACTGCCTCTGCCATTGGTAGAGGGGTCTCCCTCTGGATTGATTGCTTCCGAGGTTGAGGTAGATACCCTTTAGTTCAGGGGTCCTCAAACTACGGCCCGTGGGCCACATGCAAAATACAAATATTGTATTTGTTCCCGTTTTGTTTTTTTACTTCAAAATAAGATATGTGCAGTGTGCATAGGAATTTGTTCATAGTTTTTTTTTAAACTATAGTCAGGCCCTCCAATGGTCTGAGGGACAGTGAACTGGCCCCCTGTTTAAAAAGTTTGAGGACCCCTGCTTTAGTTCATCCCAGCTGTCGCAAATGGTAAGATTTTATTCTTAAGAAAAGAAAAGATTCTTGGACCTTTGTCAGGGGCTAGCTATCAACCTGTTTCCCACAGTTGATCGAGGGTAAAGAGTAGTTCCCCAAATTATGCCAACCTCAGAGTGTTCTCCAGACATTTGTTATATCAAGGCGGACGGTGAAGCTGGCATCTGCACAAGTGGCATCGGTAAAAGAAAGCGCATTTCATCAGTGTCCTGAAGGGGTCAGAGGTAATGGACACAAAAATGAGTCAGTTGGGCGGAGAATACGTTCTTTAGGAGGCCATTCTCAAGCAGTGTTTGTGCCTAATTACATGGAGTAGTGTTGTCCAGATTTCAAAGCTCACAGATAAGATGCAGAAGTCATTCAGCCTTCTGTGAGGCCACACCCTTCGCCTGTCTCTGCTTCCTGGCCCCAGCCCTTTCTTGTTATTCAGGAACATAAATGCTGACACATTTTATCTGCCCAGTAGTTGCCTCATCTCTTATTTCAGACACATCCAGGACTACTGTGGCTTCTGTTTTGCCTTCTGCTAAGGCAGAGGAGTTCTCTTAAAACCCTGACTGTGCTTAAATGTGTATGTCATTCTGTCCTTGTCCTGTCTTCTCAGTAGCAAAGGTTCTGAAAGGTCTGGAGCTTTGGCACCAGCCTGGCCTGGGGTCACCGAAGTTCTGGGGTTCCTTCTGTCTCGGGGTGTAGCGCAGTGCTCATGTGTGGAAATAGAGTCCACAGCTCTGGGTTCCCACCCAGCACTGCCACTGTGGGCCTGGGCAAGTTACTTACGTGCATTGAACTTGAGTTTCTTCATATAGAATTGGAGATGCTGATAGTCATGAGTTTTCATAATACTTATAACAGTTGACACAAACGTAGTGCTTGCCATGTGCTAGGCCCTGTTCTAAGTCCGTAGCATAAGTTAACTCATTTAATCCTCACAGAAGCCCTATGAAGAAGTGTTTTATTACTCCCATATGGAAGCACAGAGAAGTTAAGTTACTTACCTAAGGTCACGCAGCTAGTGAGGAGCAGAACCAATATTCACACCAGGCAGTGTGGCTCCAAAGTCCATACAATCCCTACAGCCTGCTACACGGCCTAATGTGTGCCAAGCCCTTAGCACAGGGCAGCGCAGAGTAGGTGCTCAGGTAAGCCTTCAGGTTGCTCAGACTCTGGAGGATTTCCTACTGGGTCCCAGCAGCTTCCATCCCTCGATCTCTCTAGCGACTGTAGTCTTTCTTTCTTTTAAGTCACGATAAAATACACATAACAGTATTTACCATCTTAGCCATTGTGATGTTTACAGTTCAGTGGCACTGATTCTATAAACATTCTTGTGCAACCAGCACCACCATCCATCTCCAGAGCTTTCCTCTTCCCCAAACTCCGTACCCATGAGGCTCCAACTCCCCATTCCTCCTTCCCTCCAGTCCCTGCTAACTTTCTAATTTGTATCAATGAATTTGGCTATTCTAGATCTCCCACAAAAGTGGAATCGTTCAAAGTGTGTTCTTTTTTGTGTAGCATATTTCACTGAGCATAATGTCTTCAGAGTTCACCCATGGTGTGGCATGTGTCAGAATTTCCTTCCTTCTTAAAATATGTTTTTTATTGATTTCAGAGAGGAAGGGGGGGGTGGGGAGAGAGAGAGAGAATCATTGATTGGCTGCTCTTGCACGCCCCCCCCCCCCCCCCCCCATCGATCCCGCAATCCAGGCATGTGCCCTTATTGGGAATTGAACTGTGTGACCTCCTCGTTCATGGGTCGACAATCACTGGGCAACACCAGCCAGGCTGAATTCCTTTCCTTTTTAAGGCTGAATAATATTCCATTGTATGTTCATGCCACATTTTGCTTAAGCATTCATTCGTAGATGGACGTTTGGGTTGTTTCCACGCAATGAATAATGCAGCTGTGAATGCGGGTGTGCAAATACCTGTTTGAGCCCTTGCTTTCACTTCTTTTGAGTATATCCCCAGAAGTGGAATTGTTGGATCATATGGTAATTCTGTTTAAATTTTTGAGGAACCACTGTACAGCTTTCCACAGTGGCTGCCCATTTTACATCCCCAGTCCTCTGAGTTTTACGGTTTCCTCACTTTTTCCATTTTATCCCCCCCAACCATGGTGTTCTCCTGTATTTGCTAACAGCTCCTAAACAAAGGACGTGTGTCCTTCTCTCCCGTAATTCTCAGGAAGGCTTTAAAACTGAGATGACCATTTGCGACAACATGGATGAACCTTGAAAGTAGACGGAGAAAGATACTGTATGATCTCATGTCAATGAGGAATCTAAAAAAAATAAGTAAAAATAGAAAACTCCCAAACTCCCAGAAATAGAGATCAGATTGTGGTTATCAGAGGCAGAGGGTGGAGGGAGGGAGAGATGAAGGAAAGTGGTCAAAAAATGCAAATTTCCAGTTATAAGGTAAATACATGCTAGGGATGAAATATATAAGGTGATGATCATAGCTAACACTACTGTAGGTCTATAGGAAGGTTGTTTTAAGAGAGTAGATGCTGCCCTAACTGGGTTGGCTCAGTGGATAGAGCGTGGGCCTGCGGACTGAAGGGTCCCAGGTTCGATTCCGGTCAAGGGCACATTGCCTGGGTTGTAGGCTCGATCCCCAGTGTGGGGCTTGCAGGAGGCAGCCAGTCAATGATTCTCTCTCATCACTATCTTTTTCTCCCTCTCCCTTTCTCTCTGAAATCAATAAAAATATATTAAAAAAAAAAAAAAAGAGAGAAGATCCTAACAGTTCTCATCACAAGGAGAAACAGTTTTTTCTTTTCTCTTTTCTTTTTCTTGTATCTATATGAGAAGATAAGCATTAGCTGGTTCTGTTATGGTAATTATTTCACAACATATGTAAATCTAATCTTCAGGCTATACACCTCAAACTGACATAATGGTGTGTGCCAATTATTTCTCAATAAATCTGGGGAACGGTTAATTATCTGTACCAAAAAAAAAAAAAAAAAGATGAGATGGTTCTTAGAGCTCAGTTAGTCAAACTTTACCCACTTTTCAAATGAGGAAACTGAGGCCTAGAGATGGGAGGCGCTGGCCCCGATCACCCAGCAAAAGCAGGATCTGGCTTGTGACCCCCCCCAGGTCAGAGTTCTTTTGTGATTCCACTAACCCAGGGCTCAGTTGCCAAATGAATGCAGGTGCCGTCTGTCGCCATTCATGATTCTTTCTGGGAGTGGAGTAGAAGCTGCCTTGGACCCTGGGATGGGGGCAGGGAAGGGGGAAACCAGACCAAGGCCCGAGGAGGAAAATGATCCTTTCAGAGGAACAGGGCTTCACTCCTTTTCTTACACAGGAGAAGCCGCCCTACAACCTCCGGGCCTTCAGCCTGCGCATCAACTTCCCCGAGGAATATCCAATGAGACCCCCCACGGTGACGTTCACAACCAAGATCTACCACCCCACCGTGGGCATTGATGGCCAGGTGTGCCTGCCCATCATCAGCAATGAGAACTGGAAGCCTTCTACCAAGACCTACCAAGGTGGGCTGGGCTCTGCCTCCAGGGAGGGGGGCCCATGCTGGAGAGGGGTTATGGGGCTGATTTTGAGTTAGAGAAGCCCAAAGAGAAGAGATAAAAATTGTGGGTCTCCGTGGAGTCTGTTGTTGGATAGAAGGGATGTGCCCTGAGATTCCTGCTCCTGCCTCTGTTCTGACACTTGGGCAGGTGTGACAACAACGTGTCTGTGGGTCATGGGAGAAAGTAGCCGCTGAGCTATCGAGGGACAGGCTTGGGATAAAAAGGCCGCTGCTCTCTATCTGTGGACCTTGGTGAAGTCTCTACTCCTTTCCAGGGCTCAGTGCCCTAAAGGACAGTTGAGGGGGTTGGCCCAGTAATGACAATCCAATCGCTTAATTAAGCACTTTTGGCACTATGCAGAGAGCTTCACGCATAATGTCATCGAATCCCCTGAGCAGCTCCCCCAGATAGTGCTGTCCTTAGCCCCATTTAGTAGATGAGCACACTGAGGCACCGAGAGGTGGAGCACTTGCCTCAGGCCTGGCACTGAGTCTATTCAGCTGGCCAGCGGCAGCGCTGGGATGCGCAGCCGGGCTTGGCTGACGAGCTCGGCGCCATCCAGCAGGTCTTTCTGCAGTGATGGGAACGTTGTGTGCACTGTCCAGTTCCGCAGTCACTAGCCACGGTGTGGCTATTGAGCGCTTGAAATGTGGCCAGTATGGCTGAGGAACTGAGTTCCTAGTTGTAGTTCATTCTTATTCATTTAAAACGAGATAAGCACCTGTGGCTGCTGGCTCTAGTCAATGTGCGATCTCTCCTGCCTCTGACTATCTCAGTTCTTAACCCCGGCAAGGAGGGTCCTGGGTGGGGGCGGGTGGGGAGTGCTCCTCAGATGACCTTCAGGGACCCGTGAAGCACTCTTATCTCAGAGCTCCATGTTTGTGCGCATGTGCACGTGCCTGGGGAGACGGGCCCCTGCCTTCACCGGGTTCCCAAAGGCATCTGTGCAAGATCAACCACCGGGCAGTAGTGGTTCTCAGTCCTTAGCCTCAGAACCCCTTTTCCCAAATAAAAGTTTATTTGGAACCTTAATATCAAACAGAGGAAAACGAGGTGGTTCTTGTTGAAAGGGAGTGGGACCCAGACACCCCACGTATCTCATAACGGAACATAGTTTGGGAACCACTGATAGAACCAGTCAGAGCTTTCGGCATCGTCAGCTGGGAACGGGAGGGGCATTCCGTTTGGTTAGGGAGTCATCCTGAGAGGTGGGACCTTCTTGGGGCTTCTCCAGGGAGTGGGCATGGAGTTTCAGGGGGATCTGGGAGTGGGCAGCCATCGGACCCTTCCCAGGATTTTTCTCTCCGTCCTCAATGTCCTGCTCTGGCCTCTCTCCCCAGTCTTGGAGGCCCTCAGCGTGCTGGTGAATAATCCGGACCTGGGGGAGCCCGTGCGCCTGGAGCTTGCTGACCTGCTAACACTGGACTCGGAGCAGTTCCACAGGAGAGCCGAAGAGTTCACCCTCCAGTTTGGAGAGCCCCGGCCCTCCTAGCTCTGGTTCTGGCCCTCTGCACTGGGTCCTGTCCCTGTGATGGCAGACACACAACATGGACTGGGGCCAGAGCCCCTTGGTGGCCCATGTCCTGCTCAGTTTTTCTGTGTTTTTTCCTTTCTTAGGTTGTTAGCTGTTAGTTGTGTGTGTGGTATGTGTGGACCCAGTTCCAGGTTCACGCATGGGGTTATGGGGCTGATTTTGAGTTAGAGAAGCCCAAAGAGAAGAGATAAAAATTGTGGGTCTCAGTGGAGTCTCTTGTTGGATAGAAGGGATGTGTCCTGAGATACCTGCTCCTGCCTCTGTTCTTACACGTGGGATACCTGCTGCTCTCTATCTGTGCACCTTGGTGAAGCCTCCACTCCTTTCCAGGGCTCAGTGCCCTAAAGGACAGTTGAGGGGGTTGGCCCAGTAATGACAATCCAATCACTTAATTAAGCACTTTTGGCACTATGCGGAGAGCTTCACGCATAATGTCATCGAACCCCTGAGCAGCTCCCCAAGATAGTGCTGTGTGCTTTCCTACTTCGTTTCTGTGCCCCAGAGCCAGGCAGTTAAGGTTTGCAGAGTCACAGGCCAGCTGCTACTAGTGGCTCCATCTTAAAGATCACCTTCCAGGCCAGCTGGCAGGAAATGAGCCCAGCAGGCCACTAGAAAACCTCAGGGACCCAGGCATCTGGGGGAGTGGAGGCGGGAGGCAGGGCACATCGAAGGGAGTCCCTTGCAATTGGGTGATTTGTTGATTATATTATCAGCCAGGCTGTGCAGATTTAAGTGCTAAACCTTTTCTTTTCCACTGATGAAACACTAAGTGAAGAATCTGATCTCTGTCCCAGAAATCTGACTACACTGTTTCCAAACCACTTGCAATCCCATTAGGTTGGGGCCAGGCTTCAGGCTGGGAGGAGCGGCCCCTTCAGCTTCCAGTCAAGAGGGAGTCACGGAAACCGTGTGTTTTTCCAGCCATTAAAGTCTCAGATGACGTGTAGAGTCTGGCTCAGTGTTCGCTGAGGGGATGGGGCGGTTTCATCAGGAGAAGAGGAGGCTGGGGAGTTAGCTGCTGTCTAATAAAAGGTGGGACCCTACTTCCCATGAACTGATGGGCTCAAGCCGGGAGGAACCCGAAATATTGTGGGGCCACGAGGGACTAGGCCATCCTGGCCAGAGGGCCACCAACACCTCCACAGGGGAATGTCCTCATTTCATAGATGAGGCAGCAGCGGCACAGGGCACAGAGTGGATTGCCAGGTCACCTCCTGCCTCGGTGCCAAGCTGGCTGGCTTTTGTCTCTGTGTTTTTCGTGGGCTGTTACCAGCACAGCATTCCCCAGTGGCTGATAAAGCCAGACAGGACTGTTAGCAGGACATTGTCATCAGCTCAGCGGTTCCTCTCTAATGAGCAATGGAAAAACAAAAACAAGCCACAACTTCAGGCAGAGTCGGAGGGATTAACTGAACCGGAAGGAGAACCTTCTGGGTGTGATGGTTCTGAGTTACAGGAAAACCATCTGCTTTTAAGAGACAGAAATGTGGGGTATCTTTGAGTGAAGGGCCTCACTGTAGGCCCCACTAGCCTACTTGGGGTGAGATTTCTAGAGCATCTTCTATTCCAGCCCTGCCCTGGAACTCTCTAATCGGGAGAAGTGTGGAGAGAGGGAAGAGACAGGAGAAGTGCCACTGATGGCCGGAAGTGTAGGATTTGTTTTTACTCTTGGCCACCACTTACTGAACGTATATGTGACAGGCACCAGGCAAGGCTTTTGCTCATTTAATTATTTCCTTTAACCCTCACAACGCCTCCATGAGGTTTGAACTTTTGTCCACAATCAGATGGTGATAGGTTCAGAGACGCTAGCTCATTGGCCCAAGGTCACACAATTGGATAGTGGTGGGACCCAGGCCATTGTCCTTTCCCAAATGCCGTTCATGCTGGTAGAAAAGATTGTGGCAGCCCTGGCCGGTGTGGCTCAGTTGGTTGGGCATCGTTCTATATACCAAAAGGTTGCTGGTTTGATTCCCAGTCGGTACATGTCTGGTTGCAGGCTCGATCCCCCCGAATGGGCGTGCAGGAGGCAGCCAATCGGTATTTCACTCTCATGTCGCTGTCCCCCCCCCCCCCCCCTTCCTCTCTCTCCAAAAGTCAATTTAAAAATCTTTAAAAAAAAAAAGAGAGAAAAGATTGTGTCAGGTGAGTAAATGTCAGCAGAGGAACCCTGGCAGCCAGGGTTCATTATCCCAGAGAGAGACAGGTTCCTGGCTGGGATAGGGAGGGAGCACTGAGGGCCAGACAGGATTTTACAAAAGTACCTTTAATGCAGTTAAGACTGGTACCACCTGCCTTTGCCCAACCCGGCTCTCTGGTCTCTGGAGCAGAAGGGAGCCTTGGGCCGTGGCTGGTCAGCTGGGCGCCCTGCCCACAGGGTCGGTCAGCTCCTCATTTCTTCTTGGTCTTCACCAGTCCCTTCTGCACTAGGCAGCGATACAGCTCCTGGATGTAGGTATAGACGCATTTGGAGTCAGGCACTGCCAGCCGCACCATGTCATCCACCTCCAGCAGCTGGGCACAGTCGGCCAGTTTCCTGAGAGGCAGAGGAGGGGTGGGGTGAGGGCCAGAGCCAAGGTGAAGAACATGGGAGCTAGGGGAAGGGGCGGGGGCAGCCCAGCAGGGACGAATTGTGTGTTGGAGGTGGGAGTCATCGAGGCCAACTATCCCATTGCACAGATGAGGAAGCTGAGGCCCTGACGGAGTCAAAACTGACACTCAGCTTGGTCTGCTTCCGGAGCCCACGTTTTCATTGCACTGTGGCCTCACGTGGAACGGAACCCTCTGGTCTCCAGGTCTGCATTAACCCATCCCTCCCACATGCTCCCGTATCTGTCCCCTGGAAAGCCAAGCCCCTCCGGAAGAGTTTCAAGGACAGAACCCCAGTCCTAGCTAGTATGATGGCTTATAGCTGAGCCATCTCCATCTTCATTCCGTCTCCGTGTATTTGCTGAGGGAGTTCAGCACTGAACAAAACCCAGACTTCCCTGCTCTCCTGTTAACTGACATTCTCGTGGCAGAAGACAGACAGTAATCAAACACATGAAATAGATGGCTCATCCGGTGGTGAGAGGTGCTATGGAGGAAAATAAGGCCAGGAAGGGAGGCAGGGAATGTTCCTGTGTTGACTATTTTTAAAAGGGTGCTCAGGGAAGGTCTCTTAAGGAGAGTAAATCATGTCCATATCTTGGACGAGGATTCCAGGCAGCAGAATAGCACGTGCAAAGGCCCTGAGGCAGGTGTGCCTGATGTGTGTGAGGGACTGCATGGAGGTTAGTCCTCTTTTTCTATCTTCCCAGCTGCTCTTTGGGGCGACGTGCCACTCCTGGCTTTGCGAAGGCTGCTAATCTGAGCTAACCACCGTTGGGGCCTTGCTACCAGGGGCCAGGCGCTTTATCAAGTGTTTCCCCTTGAACTGTCTCATTTACACCTCCCCTCCGTCCTCAGCCAGCAGAAGAGGAACTGGACACGCAGAGCATTTTGGTGATTTGCCCAAGGTCGAAGTGAGTGAGATGGCTGGGACTCAACCCCAGGCTGGCCTGACGCCTCTGGCATCCGTGCCCTGAAGCCTGGCCTCCGCAGCCCCAGCCTGCCAAACCACGTGGGTGCTGGCAGTAGGAGAAACCAGGGTCCCAGCAGAAAGCCTCCCTTGGGGCTGAGACAGCTGGGCCGAAACCCAAGCCGGACTGGCCTGGGTGCCGGGGGAGGAGCGCAGATGGGAGGATTTCGAAGAATGGGACCGGCTCCCTGTAACCGATGCAGTGACCTCGGCTTCTGGGTGTGGGTCTCCCTACACAGGAGCTGGGGGCCAGGCTCCTCCAGCAGCACAGCTGACTGAGCCCAGTGGGGGCTTCGGCACTGGCTGCTCCCCTCTGTCAGGACTTAACAGGAATCAGAGGAGAGTTCTATGGGGCGGTAAGGTGCGACGGCTCTGGCAGGAGCCATCTAGTTGGCACATTTAATCTTCACTCTAACCCATAAGGGTGGTTAAGTCAGCTGCCGAGAGTGTCAGAGCTAAGGAGGAAGGAGGCAGGATTCACACTCGGCACCTCATCCTCCATTCTCCATGGTCCCTAGCTCATCCTCCCCTTCACACTGCTGTCTGATGCCTCCTGTCAGCCCATCATCATTACTGAGCCTCCTTCTGCCTTCCTGTGGCTCTGCCTGACGTGGAATCAAGGTAAGGCGGCTGCCAGAGGAGGACAATGCCTCATGCCCCACAGGCCAGGGACACCTGGCCAGGGCGGAGCTGCACTCCCTTCTGAGCTCACTTGGAGCCCTCAGTCCTGACTAGGAGTTCACTTTCCAATCCCAGTTCTGCCACAGCCCTCCTGTCCCACCCCGGGATGTCACGAAACATCTCTACTTGTATCCCCTCTGGGATGCTGTGAGGCTGGAACAGAATAAGCCAAGAAGAGCACTTAGCACGCCTGCAGACAGCCCTCTCCATCCATGTGTCTTGTCATCATCCTTAAAGGTGTTTCTGAGCCCCCTCTCCCCAGGCACGCATCCCTTCCCTTGGCGGGATAATGTGGAACTGGAAGGAATCTTCCGGACCTCAAGTCGGTGGTTTCCAATGGCACTCTGGGTGCCCTACGCCCTATGCTTCAGGGACCATCTTGGGAAGGGAGGTTGGGCATTAAGCTCCTGGAATCCCCCAACCGAAAAGGTTCCCCTTTAATTTGTTTTATATGTTTGGCATTCACTTACTATTTTGAGAAATCTGCTGGGGGAAACACCCATCTGAAAGCACAGATCAATATCCAAAGCTCTCATTTCGCGGATGGGGACACGCAGGCCCGGAGAGGGGGAGGCTGCTGTCCCAGGCTTCCCTGCAGGCTGGTGGCCAGTCCCGCACATGACCCGGAGGGCTCAGCCTCCCAGACCCAGGTGCTGCGAACATCTGCAGACTTCTTCCCTGTCCCGGGCTATAGAAGTGCCCCCAGAGTTGCCCTCACTGGCCACGCCCTCTGCACGGTCCTGTCTCTGCCAGGTGGCTTGGAAGCCTCTCCCTGGGACAGGAGAAAGCAGGCGCTGCTGGCGTGAGCACCCGGGGAGTCCTGAGGCACCAGGAAGCGTCCAGGCCTCGGTGGGCACAGATGTCTGGCTGTAGTGCTTTGCTGGTGGGAGTGCCTCCCTGTCCCCCACTCGGCAGTGGTATCTGGCTCTCAGGTTCTTCCTTGGGCCACTCTGTTCCTCACACCCTTCCTGCCTTTCTGGTACCACCCATGGCTCCATCCCACCGCCACGCCTGGCACCCAGCTCTAGGAGTCTCAGGAATAAACCCGCCTCCCGGCTCCAAAGTGAAGCCTGTCTTACAGCTGTGATCTCGTTCACTACAATACAGGAGCGGACGCTAAGGCTCTTGCAAAGTGTCTTCTGTGCGTTAGGTACTGTTACAGGGACTTCACTCAAGTATTTACTTAATTCTCACTATAGCCCCGGAGAAGAGGATACCTCGTGCCCATTTTAAAGATCGGAGTATGAGGCTCGGAGAGGTAAAGGAGCCTGTCCAAGATTACACAGCCAACGAGTGGCCGAGTCAGAGTCTGAGCCCAAGTCCTCCCACCGCCCTGTCTGGAACAGCAGGCCCGAACCCCCCCTTCTCTATCCCCCCTTCTCTAACCCTCCCCCTTCTCTACCTCTCCCCCTTCTCTACCTCTCCCCCTGCTGGCGCTGTCTTTACGGCACCTATTCCCCCGGGGCATGATATTTCATATCCGTGTGTTTATGATCTCTCTCCCTCTGACTATAAGCTACAGGGCAAGCAGGGATTTTGCCCGCTGCTCTGTCCTGAACCCGTTTCTGGTGATCAAAGACTGTTGGCTATGCCAATGCCTGGCCACATTCCCCCACCCCTGTGGGTGTGGCGCTGGCCTTAGGCCTTAGGCGTTGGCACCGAGCCTCTGCGGTCCTGGCTGTGGCTTACTCTGCGGTGGAAAAGGCCAAGGTGAAGTTGTGCCGGCGCTTGGTGGGGTCCAGCTCGGCGTAGTCAAAGGCCTCGGGGAAGAACTTGTGGATGAGGGCGCAGAAGGCCATGCCGCTGCTCCAGCTTGACGAGAAGTTCTGAATGTCCACGTGCTGCGGGCGGCGGGAAGGGCGGCCTCCGTGAGACTCGCACCCTCTGGGCTCTGCACCACGCAGCCCTCCCGGGCACTGCCGCCCCGGGGAAGGGTCCCGCCCGTGCCCACCTCGTAGTGTCTCGTCATGGCCCTGCACCACTCCAAGAGCATGTTCTTGACGCTGCCGATGGCTGCCCCGGCTGCCTTCGTGTTCCGGAACAGGGCCGTGGGGCCGGAGGCTGCCCTGTGAGCGGAGGGGTGGAGAAGGCCAGGCCAGAGAGGTGGGAGGCCACCGAGAGCGCCATCAGGGAGGAGCCCCAGCCCCGGGTCAACCCTCCCACCTTGGCCTGGGCTGTTCCCACCCCCTGAGGCCTCCATCCTACCAACCCACATCCTGGGAAAGCCCAGCCCAGCCATTTCTCGCCTGCATCCTACCCTCCAAACTTGTCCACGATGGCTTTGCGGTTCTGTGCCCGGGCCCCCCGGGGCCGGGCAGGGGCTGCCACCCTGCGTTCTGGTGCTTTCTCCTTCTTCTTCTCCTGGGAGGGAGGCGGCTCCGTGGGACTCTGGGGCACCTCGCTGGGTGAAGACTCACTACGCAGAAAAGTTCAGAGACCAGTAAGAGGGGCGGGGACCAGCCAGTATAGGGTACAGGGAAGGGGTGGGAGCAGGCTGGGGGTGGGGGGTCCTTGCAGTCCGAAGGGGCATGGACAGTTGGGGCACCCACTCTTGGCACCCATTTCCTGTGCCCAGCACTGGGAGGGGCTGGAAGGAATAGTGAGGCTCAGTCTAACTTGGGGAGTGTGTGGTCTGGCGGTATGTGAGGGCAGAACTAGGGCAAGTCTGAGGTCTGACCTGAGTTTGAGTCCTGGCTTTGCCTCTTATTTGCTGTGTGATCTTGGCACTGTTTGTGTTACTTCTCTGAGCCCCAGCTTCCTCATCTGTAAAATGGGGGCAAGCACACACCTGCCTGACAAGATGGCTCTGAGGCTTGAGTAAGAAGGGGAGTTTAGAGCCTGCCATGTAGCTACCTGCAAGCTCAGTGAGTATTCAGTTATTTTTCTCTAAGACAGTAACACAGAGGTGGATCTCAGGTCGAAACAAAGGAAGAGTCTTCTCATGACTACATTTTCCTCCCGCACCCGCTGGGCACCAGGCACTGTGCTCAGTGCTTTGTACACATTATACCATTTAAGCCTCACCCTGATCCTACGAGGGAGGCACAGTTACTGCACCCACTTCACAGATGAGAAGAGGCGAAGTGACATGGCCGAGGTCACACAGCTGGTAAGTGGCAGAGTCATTGTCCAAACTCGGGCTTTCTGCTCATGCTCTATATAAGGTGCTTGGCACCGTGGAAACATGCTGAGCGGCAAGATGAGGGCCTCAATAAGACCTGCCAAGGATGCTGAGAGGCCAGTGATGGGGGGGTGGGGAGGGAGGGGGCAGCTGTGCTGATGCTCCCTGGGCTCCAAGCCCTGGCTTCTTCAGCTTCCTGGGCTCTGCCCTGGGAAAGGGGCTGAATAACAGGAACCCTGGAATTCTCAAGGCCAGGTGCTGGGGAGGCCCAGGCCCAGGTGAGGGGAGCTGGAGTTAGAGGGATTTGGAGCCAGGCCCCGGGGTTGGGCATTACCTGGCGGAGGGACTGGTCTCTCCGGAAGCTGCGGTGTCTGGGCCCAACCCATCTGCAGGAAAGGAGCAGGGGGAGGGAGGTGAGTCCACCATGACCGCTCCCTGCACGACCCCCAGGAGAGCCCCTGCAGCAGCCTGTGGGCTCCTGGCTCTCACTCACCTGGGCTGAGGCCTTGACCCTCCTCCGTGGGGCTCTCGGGCCATTCCTCAGGGGAGCTGGGACTCCCCCCTGCCCCTTCCTCCGATGCTCTCTCCACACCCTGATCCTGCTCTTCATGGGGACCGCCTGACTCCTGGAACCAACATGGTCTGGGTGAGCTCACAGTCACACAAGTGCTTGCCCAGGGCTTTGTGAGCCTTCAGAAAGATCTGCAAGGCAACCTGGGACACGGCGCAGCAGCCCCCACCCCAGGCTCTTGATATCCATGGGAGGAAGACTGGACTTTCCCCAGGAAATAAAGCACAGGGGCCTTGCTTCCCTGTGGGCAGAGGACTCCTGAACATTGTGGGGCCCCCTCCCTCCTCTCCTCTGCCTCACTCACCTCCTCCTCCCTCGTGTCACTCTCCTGTGGCTCAGCCTGGGCCTCGTCTTCCAGAGCAGCCTTCTTCTCAGAGTCTGATGTGGCCTCTGGGACACTGGCTTTCGCCTGGGCTTCAACCTTGGGCTCCTCCGTCTTGGCGCCCTCCTCCCGAGAGGCTGCTGTGGCCTCCTGCTCCCCATCAGCCTCCCTGGCCCCGGCCCCGGCCTCCTGCTCCGCAGTGCCCTGCTCCAGCTCAGCCTTGGCCGGGTCCTCCACGTCAGCTTTCTCCCCGGATTCGGGCTCGGCCGCTTTCCCCTCAGCCTTCTGCTTCTCACTGGCCAACACCGTGCCCTCCTGTCCCTCGGCCTCCTTGGGTTCAGAGTTGGTCTCTCCTTTCCCACCCGTCATCTCCTGAGGAGCCTCTTTGGTCTCTTCCTTCCCACCGTCCTCCTTTGGAAGTTCAGCCTCCACTTTGGACTCCACCTTGACCTCATCCAACCCATTGGCTTCCCCCGGGAATTCTGCCGAAGCACCTCCCTCAGCTGGAGCTCTTTCCTGCTTTCCTGCCCCCTCCGGAGGCCCCTCTGTGGCGGTGCTGGTGCCTTTGGCCGCCTCCCCTGCAGAGGTGTCACCTCCCGGCGTCCCTGGGGTCCCTGGGGAGTCAGTGGTCCCATCCTCAGAGGGCTTCCCTTCCTTCTGCTCCATCTCTGGGAAGAGAAGACAAGCAGGCCTGGTCATGCCCATCCTGCATGAGGTGAAAGCCCGCCCGCAGACAGCGCTGGCCAGGAATCTGGAGGCCTGGGCCTCAGTGCTGGGTGCCCCCTACTTGGACATGTGACCAGAGAATCCACTTCCCTGGGGTGAAATGAAGGGCCAGAGTGCTGCTTCCCGAGAGGTGGGGAGTGGGCCGCGCTGACTTAATGTTGGGTGGTGTCCACCTACCTTTGCAGATTGTGGCTTGGGCTTTAAAGAACAGTAGGTCATGCCCTGGCCAGTGTTGCTCAGTGGTTAGAGAATCACCCAGTGCACCCAAGTGTCACAGGTTCGATTTCCGTCAAGGATACATCCCTGGGTTGCAGGGTATGTGGGGAGGCAACAAATCTATGCATCTCCCTCACATCGATGTTTTCTCTCTCTCTCTCTCTCTCTCTCTCTCTTCCTCTCTCTCCCCCTTTCTACTCTAAAAATCAATGGAAAAAATATCCTCAGGTGAGGATTAACAACAACAACAAAAGAATATTAGGTCACATAATGCCTTTTCAATGATTTTTGCCTCTTTTTTTTTAATCCTCACTTGAGGACATACTTAGAGAAGGAATGGAGAGAGAGAGAGAGAAAGAAAAAGAGAGAGAGAGAAAGAGATAGAGATAGAAAGAGAGAGAGAGAGATAGAGAGAGAGAGAGAGAGAAAAGAGATAAATTGATGAGAGAGAAATATTGATTGGTTGCCTTCCATACATATCCCGACCAGGTATAGAACCCGCAACCCAGGTATGTGCCTGGACCGGGCATCGAACTAGCAACCTTTTGTTGCACAGGACGATGCTTGGGTGGTTACAATTCCACACTAGCATTCTGGATCAGTGGTGGTAGTGAGCCTCAGGCGCAGAGCCCAAAGCAGAAAGGAGCAGTTTAGATAGGGTTTAATAATACTGTTTTGTCTCCTCTGCTTCCGTTTCCAATCTATCTTACCTAATAATAGACAAATATGTAAATTGACCGTACCTCCACTACACTAATCATCCAATCAGGAGAGTATGCAAATCAACCCAACAAAGATGGCAGTTAATTTGCATACGTAGGCTCCAAGCGGTGGAGTGAAGCCTGATGGTCCCGGGGCCGGAGCAGCGAAGCCTGATGGCCCCAGGGCCGGAGCAGCAAAGCCTAATGGCTCCGGGGCCAGCTCTGGCTGGAGCCCGGCCAGAGCGAAGGCCTGGGTCCCAGGTGCCAGAGGCAAACCGGTGCCAGCAGCCAAGGCAAGGGAAGGCCTATTGCACTTTTATATATATAAAAGTCCAGTGAACAAAAGGGTGAAATGACCAGAATGACCAGTGGCTATGACACACACTGTGGCAGTCAATTAGCCTCATCCGGGCCCCAATCGGACCTCCCCCCACCAGCCTGGCCCCCGATTGGCCCCCAACACCCCTATCGGGGGCATGGCTGGCTGGCCAACCACCCGTGGCCCCTCCCCTCCCCCGGCCCAGTCCGATGGGCCCCCATCAGGGGGCGGGCCAGCCAGACTCCACCCGTGCACAAATTCGTGCACCAGGTCTTTAGTAATGATATAATGTTTCTTAAAAAACACACACATTTGTTGAATTTACAAATAAGTTAGTTCAGAGGAAGACATTCAGGAAAGCAGGTGGTACAGATAGAGCTAAATCAGGGAGGTGGTGTAAGAGTGCCTGAAGTTTGGGGATCCCTGAGTCCGCTGATCTCAGCCTCTGCCAGCTCTGCCAGCCTCTGGCCCTCGGAAAAGTTGAGCCTGGGCATGGAAGAGTTTCCTTCGGTGAAGAATAGAAACAACGCTCTCGAACCCCTGCAGGGACATGTGATCCTCCAACTGCCTGGGCTTGGTGAGGGGAGGGAGATTATGACACCTTCACTTGGGGTTTCCTATTCAAGTACTGTATGTACTCTAGGATCTACAATAACAGGTGGATGGGGAGTTTGGGGTCCCCTCCTTCATCACCCTGCCCTTCTCAGGGGTCTGTTTACAAAGAAAACAACCCCCAAATAGTGTTCAGGGCATGACTCAGCCAGTAAGAAAAGTAGACACTCCTGTCACTGGCTAAAAATACCTCCTGCCCTCCACAGTGCCATCATTCTGGGTGATGGTTCCCAGGGCACCTGGGTAATCGGGACAGAGGCAGGACAGGCAGAGGGGGGCCAGGGCTCTGTTCCTGGGTCTTACTGCCCCAGACCAGGGTCCTGGGGTCCCTGGACTTGTGCCCCGCCGTTTCCTAGGAAGCAGGTGGAATTGGCAAAGGTGTTCACACTGTTCTAGTTCTGCCCCTCCCACCAGAGCCCTTCATGGTTCAGCTGCTCCAGCATGTATTAGAGGGGACAAGTGAGCCGAGACATGGAATGCACATGGAGCTGGCCTTGACCTCCATCTCCTAGGCACTCACTCTGAGACCTGGGCAAGTCCCTTTGCCTCTCTGGGCCTCAGTTTCTGCCAATAATGACATGATGGGTCTAGATCAGTTTTCCCAAACTGTGTTCTGTGGGAAACTAGGGTCTCCTAAGACATGAATAAGGGCTGAGGGGTTTAGTCTCTGGCTAAGGTTGTTCCAGAACCTAATCTTTACCCTTTTAAAATATGCAACTTCATGAACACTTAGATACCCCATAGTAAAGAAACCTTAACTTGGCTTAGCTTTATTTAACTAACTTTTCCCCAAACCTCTTTTTTAAAAAGATATATATTTTTATTGATTTCAGACAGGAAGGAAGAGGGAGAGAGAGATAGAAACATCAATGATGAAAGAGAATCCTTGATCAGCTGCCTCCTGTATGCCCCAGACTGGGGATTGAGCCCACAACCTGGGCATGTGCCTTTGACAGGAATCGAACCTGGGACCCTCCAGTCCACAGGCTGATGCTCTATCCACTAAGCCAAACCAGCTAGGGCTCCCTAAGCCTCTTTGACCATGGTTTTCTTTCTTTTATTTTTTGCTGCTTTTCCTGAGGCACCACTACCACCTCCTTGAGCAATGCCATGCTTAGCAGAAGTATGGCCCACCCTGGTCTGAATGACCTGCACAACCCCTTACTGCCCTGCGCTCTTGCTTGGAAGGCGGTATGGAGTGATGGTCAAGATTCGTGACTCCAAAGTCTTCCTACGATGGGATCCCAGCTCCCACTGTGTACTGATTGTGTGACCTTGAGCAAACTACCTGCCCTCCTGGTGTTTTGATTTTTGGAGGTAAAAATAGGTCTCGTTGCATAGGGATGGTGGAGGGTTAAGGACACATTGCATAGGAAGCACTTTGAAGCCTGCGTGCTGGGGAAGGCAGGCTCAGCACACATCAGCTGGTACTGTGTAGGCTGGCCTCCTCCCAGCCATGTACCAGATTAAGGCCCTGACCCGGTCATGAGGGCACTTAGTTGGTGAGACAAGGCAAAGAGAACTGAAGGCCAGTCCTTTGATAACCAGCCCTTTTTAGACCTCAGAGTGTGGTAGTAATTGGCTAAGACATAGCAAAGTGCTGCAACCATCTTTCCCTTCATCTACATGCTACACCCTTAGGGTGGCGGAGGCGAAGGACAGGTGTATACACACACACACACACACATACACACACACACACACACACCTCAGCCATGCTGTTTTCATCACCTCTGCTTTCCACCCTCCGGGCTTGTCATAAATAGACAAGAGTGAAGAAACTCAGAAACACCCCACCCCCAGCATGAACAACTCTAGAGCAGCTTATAGCTCACATAACACCCTGCTTTACCTTGCTGGGTCCCCCCTCTAACCCTTGGGAACAGGCGGGATTGGCCCCCTTGTACACATTAGGAATTTGAAGCTGGGGCAGGGGAAGTCCCTTGATTAAAGTCATAGGACAATTAAATGGCCAACCAGTACCTAGAGCCCAGGTCTCCTGACAACTAGCTGGAGCCTGAGCCAAAGATGCTGCTCCCACCAGGTGCTCAGCCCGTGTGTCCTTCCAAGGCTCCAGCCCAGAGTGCGGGGCCTCTCACTGATGGGGGAGGACAGTCAGACATGGCTGAGGCGTTGAGCTCTCTCTTTCCTTCCTTCCTCTCTACTTTCTTTCCTCCTTCCTTCCCAGGAAGCCTTCGTAGCATGCCTGCCCTGCACATAGTTCCTCTCCCCTTCCTGTTGCTCTTGGCAGACCCGAAGGAAAAGAACCCAGGAGCCCCAGTTCCAAGCCTCAAATAGTGTTGATGACATTTGATGGTTCTGCTGACACCGGCAGACCCTCGGCCACCCCATCTGCCTTCCGGTGGTCCTGAGGCCACTCCTAGCTGTTTGGAGAGTCTGCCGCCCTGCCCAGCTGAACCAGGGAGCCCCTCTGCCCAGCAGGCCTCCCCGTGGGTGGCCTCCTGCAGGCTGCTCTGTAGGTAACCTCAGGTTGCCCAGCACCCCAGAGGCTGAGTCCCTGAGCTCTGGCATCTCAAAAGAAGCCTGGGTTTCTCCAACTCTGGGGCCCTGCTTGGAGGCATCCGCCCTTGGAATGTGGGAGAGGGGTTGGCAGATAAAGGGGGGCCCCTGAGAAAGGAGCCCAGGGCTTCTCTTACCTGGGGGGCCTCTGCCTGGGGCCTTGGGAGCTGTCTCCTTCTTCTAGCTGAGCAGCCTCACTCCTGGCTGCCAGAGGCCTCTAGCCCCCAGTGCTTCTGTCCCTGCCCCCTCCACCTTCCACCCTCCTTCCACCCCACCCCCATTTCAAGAGCCTTGGGCCTCCGAAGAGCATTGTTTACGCCCTGTTGGTACAACACTTTCCCCTGACCTGGGAGGCTCAGGTTTCCCATGAAGATCTGACAGGTGGCACCTTTCAATCATAGGGCGCGCCTCCTGCCCTGACCCCAGCAGCATGCATTCGCTGGTCATCTTTCGTCCCAAAGTACTTGCCCGGCCCTGGAGACCTGGAAAACCATCTGCAGGCCCATTTGGATGGTCCCCAGCCCGCTGGCCTCCCCTGTTCACCCAGAGCCGAGGCTAGGCCTCCGTTGCCCCGCCCCCCACCTTGTGTCTTTAAATAGTTCCTTTTACTCTTCCTCAGACAAGAGCAGCTGCTGGAGGGTGGGCTCAGGAGGGAGAGAGTGGGACAGCTGCTGTCCGGACTATACTGGGGTGTCTTGGGAGTCCCCTGGCTCACACTGGACAGAGATTTGGAGCGGGGAGGGGCAAAGAGGAGAAGATTGATGGGTCAAGGAGACCCTGGGCTTAGAGTTTAGAAACACAAAGCTGAGCTCTGTTTTGAGTGAAGTGACTGGTACACAGTAGGCTCTGGACACGTTTTTGTACTGAATCTAGATTTTGCTCAGAAAAACCAAACACATCTTTACCTTCTCAATATGTCCTATGAGAGGCACTACTTTTTGGAAAATGTGTGCAGGGCATTCCCCCCTTACCCACCCTCCCGCCCACGCACACAACTTAGGAAGCTTGCGGTTCCCCCAGGCCCCACTCCCGGCCCCACCACTTCAGCCACACTGACCTCCTTCCTGTTCCTTAAATAAATCGATTCCTTGCCACACGCAGGATTGTAACCTTTTTGCTTTTGCTCTTTGCAAGATTAGCTCCTTCTCATTCTTCTGCTCTCAGCTCTAATTTCATTTCCTCGGAGAGGGCTCTGTGACCTTCAGTTCCATTCCATTATTCCAGCCTGTTTTATTTTCTTCGTACTATTTATTGGGATCCAAATTTACCTTATTATCTGACTCTCTCATTAGACTCTAAGCTCTATGAGGCAGGGACTGTATGTACTCTGCTCATGGCTGTATGCCCAGGAACTAGCAAATTGCCTGGTTCATATGAGGTGCTCAATATATTGAACGCATGAGTTAATTACTTAGTTAATAGAAATTTGGAGTTGGAACTTGGGGGCCTGTGCTTGGGATGATCTGAAAGCGAGGTTTGGGTACCCATGTTGAACAGTTCAGTATTGATGGTTGTTGGCAGTCTCCAGTATTGAGATCCACAGTTTATCTGCCCAAGATTGGTGAACTTTTTCATATATCTCTCTGGCCTGCTGTCCTTTTTAAAAATTAAAACCCATTTCTCTTCTAGCCCTACCATCATTAGGTATCGAAAACAGCAAAATATAAGATCACTGAATCACTCATTAAAACTTCTCTTAGACAGTTTCGTGTATTCATTGATCAAATGGTTTTTGAACACCTTGTATATGCTGGAGACACAGCACTGAACACAACAAAAAATGGGCAAAACTAGATCATAGAGCTCACACTTTAGCGTGGAGAGATAGTAAGAAAATCAAAATATAGAATATGTTATATTAGTTGGTGATAGGTCCTACAGGGGGAAAGGTAGCAGAGAAAAGGAGGTCTTTTATTTTGGGGGGTGGGGTGATGTACTTCGAGTGATCCAGGAAGGCATCACTGAGACGGTGATATTGGAGTAAACACCTGAAGGAGGTGGGAGGGGGAGGCATGCAGCTATCTGGGAGAAAACAACCCAGGCAGAGGGCACAGCAAGGGAAAGGCAAGGGTGTGCTTGGTGTTTAGTTCTTAGGAAGGAGGCCAGCAAGGCTGGGCAGAGGGATGGAGCTGGAGAATGGTAGGAGACAAAGGCAGTGGGGGGCTGAATCACATGGGGCTTTAGAGGCCATTGTAAGGACTTTGGCTTTTATTTTCTGACTGGAAGCCATTCGAGTATCTTAGGTTGTGAAGTGACACGATCTAACTTTAGTTTTTGACAAGATCCCTCTGGCTGCTGTTTTGAGAATAGCCTGAAGGGGAAGCATGAACCAAGTGGGCAAACCAGCGAGGAGACTGCTACAGTAACGCAAGATGGTGGTTGGTGATGTGGACCAGACTGTTAGCAGTGGAGGTGAGGGGTGGTGAGGAATGGTGCCAGTGGGTAACAGGGACTAGGACTACGCTGTCTTGCTCTTCAAGCTCATCGAATGACCAGTCCGTTTAAGCCCTTGACATGCGTATTCTCTTGTCTTCTGCTCATTTCAGGGGAGTTCAATTGGGCTGTCTTTGTACTCTCCACACCTCTCATGAGTGGTCAGGGCCCATGTGGGGAGATCCTGGGTGACAACCTTGCATCCCTTCCTCAAGGCTGAGGTCCCATCCAAGAGGACGCTACTGATCATGGCGAGTAACAAATACCCAACTCCCCTTTGGGAGGCTGGGAAGGGGTAATACCCCAGGATAGAGTGAGGGGCTAGAGCTTCAGCATGCAGACAGAGGTCAGCAGTTTTGGATGAGGTATCTGAATTGAAAGCCTGGGGCTATAGAAACTGTCTTTTACAAGACAAAACTTAACAGGGACAATTTGAGATTCCTATTTATAGGTCTTCAAATTTCCAACTGTATACTAGTGAGCCTAGCAAGGAAAAGACACAGTCTCATAGTAGATAGTAACAATAACATAATCATCAATAAGAACAATGATTTCCCAGGTATTAGAGCAAGGGGAAAATGTGGAGTTGCTGTTCGACGGTATAAAGTTTCGGCTATTCAAGATGAATAAGATCTACATAAGATCTGTTCAACGTTGAGCATATAGTTAACAATACTGTTTTGTGCACGTGAAAATTTGTTAAGAGAGTAGATCTCTTGTTTTTGCCACTGTAAAAAGCCATTCTTGAAAAATTGGAGGAGATTGAATATATGCATTAGATGACATTAAGAAATTACTATAGTTTTAAGGGCACTGTGGAAAAAGACGTTATTTGTTACAGATAAAAATTGATTAAGAAAATGTGATTAAATGTTAATCATTGTTAAATCCCAGTGATGGGTATATGGAAGTTCAATATACTGTGCTCTCCAATTTTCTGTATGTTTTATTTTTAAATTAAATATTTATTTGTTATTTTATTTCATTTTTTCCATCACCATTTACCCCCTCTATTTCTGTATGTTTTAGATTTGCCTTAATAAAAGTCTAAAAATTTAAAAAAATATAATGATTTATTTTTATTGAGCATCTGTCATGAACTAGGTGCTTTAATGACATTATCTTTTTTGTTTGCTTTCTTTTTGTAATGATTTTGAAAACCTTTTTATTTTGAAATAGTTATAGGTTTACAGGAAGTTGCATAAATAGTACCCTTGTGTATTCTTCACCTAGCTTCCACTAAAGGTTAAATCTTGCATAACTATATGCAATATCAAAGCCAGGAAACTGACATTGGCACAATGGTGTGCATAGTTCTACGACACCTTACCATATCTGTAGATTTGTATAACCGCCTCCACAAATGGGACACAGAACCTGTCCATCACCACAAAGATCCCCTTTGTTCTTTATAGGCACACCTCCCGCCTCCCCCCCACCCCCAACGCTAACCCCGGGCAACCATCAATCTCTTCTCCATTTCTATAATTTTGTTGTTTTGAGAATGTTATTTAAAGGGAATCATACAGCCCGGCTGGCGTGCTCAGTAGTTGACCTATGAACCAGGACATCACTGGTTCAATTCCAAGTTGCAAGCTCAATCCCCAGTGTGGGGTATGAGGAGGCAGCCAATCAATGATTCTCTCTCTTCTCTCTCTCTCTCTCTCTCTCTCTCTCTCTCTCTCTCTCTCTCTCTCTCTCCCTTTCTCTCCTTCTCTCTTCCTCCCTGAAATTAATAAAAATATATTTAAAAAAATAAAGGGAATCATACAGTATTTAACCTTGCATTCCACCCTAATAAAAACCCCATCTAAAAAATAGATTTCTCTGCCGAAACCGGTTTGGCTCAGTGGATAGAGCGTCGGCCTGCGGACTGAGAGGTCCCAGGTTCGATTCCGGTCAAGGGCATGTACCTGGGTTGCGGGCATATCCCCAGTAGGAGATGTGCAGGAGGCAGCTGATCGATGATTCTCTCTCATCGATGTTTCTAACTCTCTATCTCTCTCCCTTCCTCTCTGTAAAAACTCAATAAAAAATAGATTTCTCTTATAAAGACCGATCTCCTTTTCTCATACAATTTCTTAATATTCCATAATATGTTGACTATATTTCCAAAAGCAAAAACTAGGGCAACATAAGTCTACTAAAACATATGGACAATAATATTCATGGCGGCATTAGTCATAATAGCCCCAAACTGGAAACCACCTCAAAGTCCATCAATGAATGGATGAATAAATGAATTGTGGCTTATTCATACAATCAAATGCTAGATAGTAATAAAAAAAATGAATAACATACACACAACAATATGGATGTAATCTTATAGACACTACATTGAGCTAAAAACAGAAATAATGCATAATTCCATTTACATTTAGTTCAATAATAGGCAAAACTGATAGTGATAGAAATCAGAATAGTGATTAACTGCAGAAGAGGAGGTACTGACTGGGAAGGAACATGAGATAATTTTTTAGGCTGCTGGAAATATTATGTATCTTGATCTGAGTAGTAGTTATAGGAGAATGTATATTTTAAAATTAAGCTTAAGATTCGTGTATTTTACACACTTTACTGTACCAATGTTATACCTCAACTTTAAAACATCAGAGCACCCTAGCTGGCTTTGCTCAGTGGATAGGGCATCGGCTTGCGGACTGAAGGGTCCCAGGTTCGATTCAGGTCAAGAGCACATGCCAGGAGTTGCAGGCTTGATCCCCAGTAGGGGGAGTGCAGGAGGCAGCCCATCCATGATTCTTTCTCATCATTGATGTTTCTCTCTCTCTCTCTCTCTCTCTCTCTCTCTCTCTCTCTCTCTCTCCTCCTCTCTGAAATCAATAAAAATATATTTTAAAATGTCAGGGCACAGGGTTTGATAAAATGTGTCCTTAGAGCAGTAGTAAGGCATAGTGTTGAAAATCTGGACTTTCTTGGACAATTAAGCATTTGGTGACCAACCATACAAAGTGTTCAGCCCCCCTTCTCCAATGGGAAGTGTACCCTTGCATTATTAACTCGTATCTCCTAAATTTCATTTACTGGTAAATCCCTTGAAAAAATCAAGGAATTGAGGTGTTTGGGGTTTTGTTGTTGTTATTGGGGGTGGGGGGAAACAGTGGAAACAAGTAAGTTCACTCTCCTTCTCCCATTACTAAACACACTAGGTTAACTCTAGTGGCAGTCAAAATAGCTCCTATTCACCTCTTATTGCCCAGTGAGTCTAACAGAAGTTGAATAAAAACAGAAGTATACTAGTATATGTCTTGTCTTTCTGCAAGCAGGAACTATGTCTCCCTTATCTTTGTAATCCCAGAGAAAGGTTAGTGACCTGTAGGCACGCAGCTGTATTCACACAAAGTTTCTTGAAGCACCCGTTCCCAAACTTGGTTGCACAAAGGAATTAATGTACAATTTATGAAACTTCCTGCAAATCCATAATCATTTCAAAGTCAACTTTTAAAAACATCATTACAAAAAGAAAAATAAACAAACTAATGTAATTAAAGCACCTAGTCCATGGCAGATGCTCAGTAAAAAGAAATCATTGGTGTACTTTTGTTTTTTAAGTTTTAGACTTTATTATGGCCAATTTAAAACATACAGGGAAGTGGAGAGCACGGTATTTTGAACTTCCAAATACCTATCACCAGGATTTAACAATTATTCACATCAAGCCATATTTTCCTCATCTACTTTTACTGTCTTTTTTTCTACAGTGCCATTTTACACCCTTAAAATGATAGTAATTTCTTCTCGTCATCTAATGCACATTAATGCACATCTAACTCACCC